TGTGAGTTTGAGGCCAGCCTGGTCTACAGAGCAAGATCCAGGAAAGACACAAAGCTACACAGAGAAACCCTGTCTGGAAAAACCAAAAAAAAAAAAAAAAAAAAAAGTTCAGAGTAGTCACACTATCTTACTCTTCAAGTAAGATACAGATTGTGGAGAACTTGACTTCCAGAAACACTGTACTGTCTTTTAAGTTGTTCGTGATTTTTAAAGTCTTTTCAGTGCTCTCTAGTTAAGTTTCCTGCCCACCCTACCCCCACCGTGTGTAATGATAAAACCTGCAGTTGAATATTAATGGATAAGAAATGAAATTTATGTCCTAAACATGTTTTTCCCTTTTAAAGGACCATAGATATCTAAATGGGAAATTGTACATCAAATGTTCTGCCACTTTACTACAGACATCGAGTGACCCATGGGCATTAAGAGAACCAGGTTATGCTTCCTGGCGTTTAAGAGACTAGAGAGTTTCAGGTTGAACAGAGAATTGGAGTTAAGTTGGCATGGGTTTGTAATGACATAGGACTCTAGGTTCCAGAAACTGATGATGTCTTTGACGATACAGGACTGGAGGTGTGACCGACATGATGAAGTTCCCGGCTGGCAGCTCCGGGCCTGCCTGAGTGTAGTTACTGCCCGGTCAGAGCGCCAGGCTCGACGTTTCTTTTCTGACTTGTTAGCTTTGTACACTCCCCTCTTTTATCTCCATGGCGTTCTCTCGGTGCTTGCTATCCCCCAGCTCTGCACCAGGCACTGGAGATACCAAAAGGTTACCTTTTGTTACAGCCCCTTGTTTGGGCTGGGGAACACAAGAAGAGCACTCCCACAGTCTAAGCCTGAAGGATCGGACCAGCTCCAGGGAACCCTGGAGAGGCTGATGTGTAAAGTTGACTTGAAATTGGACAGTGAAACCAGCAGGACAGAGCTGGGTGGTGGTGGTGCACGCCTTTGATCCCAGCACTTGGGAGGCAGAGGCAGGCGGATCTCTGTGAGTTCAAGGGCAGCCTGTTCTACAGAGCGAGTTCCAGGACAGCCAGTGCTACACAGAGAAACCCTGTCTTGAAAAACAAACAAAGCTGGTATGACAGTTTAACAGAGGATGGACATTCTTCATGAATTTAGATCCTAAGTACGTTCTGTCAGCTGGGTCATGCCTTTATCCCTGCATCAAATGGTGTCACAAGTTTCTGGGATCTAGAGAAACCAAAAGCCTGAGAAAGTGTAAGAATTTGGCAAAGTGCAAATTTGTGATTTACATATGCAGTATTAGTGGTAAGCCAATAATGGCGACAGGGAACAGTAGTGAAGGAAGGTCTTGTATGGAGTGACAAGAGAAGAAGAATCAGGTAAAAAAAAAAAACAAACAAACCTGGTCTTGGGGTGCTGGAGAGATGGCTCAGTGGTTAAGAGCACTGGCTGTCCTTCTAAAGGTCCTGAGTTCAATTCCCAGCAACCACATGGTAGCTCACAACCATCTGTAATGAGATCTGGTGCCCTCTTCTGACCCGCAGTCATACATGTAGGCAGAACACTGTATACATAATAAATAAATAAATCTAAAAAAAAAATGCATTTGTGGTCAGCCAGGACTACATAGACTGAAAAAAATTAAAAAAACAAAACAAAACAAAACAAACCTGGTCTCACTTTTAGGTATGGCCGGTCTGGAACTTACTATGTAGACTAGGCTGGCCTTGAACTCAGAGATGTGCCTACCTCTGCCTCCTGAGTGCTGGGATTATAGCCAGTTTTTAAAATTACATTTGTTTATTTGTGTGGAGGGATACACATTTGCTGCAGCATACCTGTGGAGGTCAGAGAATGACCTGTAGGAGTCAGTCCTCTCCCTCCACCATGTGGGAGGGAACTGGGGCTCAAACTCAGGTTGTCAGGCTTGGTGGCAAGCAGCTTTGCCCATAGAGCTGTCTTACTGTCCCAAGACACATTTTGTAAGGAAAAGACTGTTCAAATAAATACAGAAGGTCCTTGATTTACGATAGTTTAGCTTTAAACTTTTAAACTTTGTGATGGCATGAAAGCCATGTGTATTCATTTTTTTCCCTGAGCTAGAAGTTATGCAATGTGAAGTATGTGTCTTAGTTGGGGTTTTATTGCTGTGAAGGGAAACCATGACCATGGCAACTCTTACAAAGGAAAACATTTAATTGGGCCTGGCTTACAGATCAGAGGTTTAGCCCATGATCATCGTGATGGGACATGATGGTGTGCAGGTGAACATAGTACTGGAGAAGGAGCTGAGAGTTCTTGATCCTCAGGCAGCAGAAGGAGACTGTGTACCACACTGGGCATAACCTGAGCATATGAGACCTCTAAGCCTGCCCTCACAGTGACACACGTCCTCCAACAAGGCCACACCTACTCCAGTAAGGCCACACCTCTTAATAATGCCACTCTCTATGGGCCAAGCATTCAAACACATGAGTCTGGGGGCCATACCTATTCAAACCACCACAGTATGCAGTCCTGAAGAGCAGCAGTGAGTGTCAGCTTCTAGTCTTCTGTATGAGCACAAGGGTGACAACTGATACTCCACTCCATGGTATCCTGTGGTGTTTGGTAGGTTGGGGATATAATTGCCTTTTTAAAAGATTTACTTAGTTTTATTTCATGTGTATGAGTCTTTTGCATGTATGCTGTGTACCATGTATGTGCCTGATACCTATGGAGGTCAGAAGAAGGTGTTAGATCCCCTGAAACTGGAGTTACAGAGGGTTGTGAGCCTCCATGTGGGTGATAGGAACCCATCCAAGGTCCTTTGCAAGAGCAGTAACTGCTCTTTAATGCTGATCTGTCTTTCTAGCTTACATAAATGCTTTTTTGATTTGTGATCGTTTCTATTTATGATGGGTGTATTGGGAAATAACCCTGTTCTACACCAGGAGTACCTTTTTAGTTCATTTAGGAAAGTCCCTTTGATACACGTGTGGTTGGAGGGGTGTGAGTTGTACACAGGAGCAAGATCATTACTCAGAGGAAGAGACTGAACCAGTGCCACATCAGTGGTAATGGAATGTAGTTCATATTTAACAGATACATGGCAAGTTTGATCAATGGGAATTGTGATTGAGTAGATTTGGGAGAAAAGTTTAATGTAATTCTCTATTTTGAGACCTGGTTAACTGGATAAAGGAGAGGAATTCAGTGAATTAGGAAGTTTTAGAAGAAAACGGTTTCCTTAATGAGCCCACTGTGGGCTTGGATGTGGCTTCTAGTAATGGACACTCATAGCAGCAGTAGCTTCAAAGAAAGTGCCTTAGGAGTGGACTAGAGGCTGGCAGACCCAGCTGATGTGGGTTTCTGTGCACACCTACGAGGACTCAGGCCTCTTTAGCTTTTCTGCTCTATTAGTATTCAGGCTGTTTCGTGGGCCTGTGTTCCCGCCATCACATTTATGTGACTGGCTCATGATGAGGGAAAGGGGAAAAGGATGGGAAAAGGTGCACTGCCTAGCTGAGGTAACTCCTACAAGCAGGCATTCTGTAATATTTGCACAATATTATGTCTTGGTTCACATGAGGACATACTGTAGTAATCCCAAATAAAATGGAATTCTTTCACTTAGAAACATGAGATAGAAATACCAGAAGACCTCTGTGCTCTGATGGTGAGAATTCGATTTCTTTAGGAAACAGCTATCATCTTAGGGCCTCTCAAAAGAAAACAAGAGAACTTAGAATGGAAGAACCTAGTATTGTTGACTTGTTTTCATTTATTAATTATTATTATTATTATTATTATTATTATTATTATTGAGATCCGATCTCACTTTGTTGCCCTTTCTAGCCCAGAACTCTCTCTGTAGACAAGGTGGCCTCAAACTGAGAAATCCTCCTGAATCTGCCTCTCAGTACTGGAATTAAAGGCATGCACCACCATGCCCAATTGCTGCCCTGTTTTTTACTGAAGTATAAAACAGATGCAAAAAACTTACATGTTGAGATTACCTAACAGTGAATTTCCGCAGTCACCATACTTCTGTCCCCATGGCACTAGCCAGGGAGCAGTCCCTTGGGACCCTGTTTGTTTCTGTCTAGGAGGAAGAAGGACGTGCTTTCTTCAGCTGCGGTACTATCTCTCTCTCCTGTACTGCCACCTCTACCGCTACAATTTGAACGATGCCCAGGGATTATGTGATCACCTAGTAAGAGAGCTCCTCAGCTGGTCCCAGTTACCCGTGAAAGGACGTAAAGATTGCTCAGGTAGACTTTTTAAAATTCAGTATACTCTCTCCCTCTTTGTCTGTCTGTCTAATCATTCTGTCTGTCCATCCATCCATCCTTCCATCCATCTATCGTAGTTTTCCAAGGCAGGATTTGTTTGTGTAACAGCCCTGACTGTCCTGGCCTGGCCTCGAACTCACAGAGATCCGCCTGCCTCTGGCTCCCAAGTGCTGGGATTAAAGATGTGTGCCACCACCGCCCGGCTTCTTTCTTTGTTTTGAAACAGGGTCTTGCTGTGTTTCTCTCTGACTTCCTTGGTACCCATGTAGCCAGCCCATGTGACGAGCCTGAGCCTCGTGAGTGCTGGGATTATAGGCATGTGCCATCCCCCTGCCTTTGCAGTGACGGTTGTTCTGTGTGGATTTTGGACCGTCAGTTTCTCAGTGGAGTAGAGCACAGCTGTTCTTGGAGATTTATCCGAGAACTCATTCAGGTTACTTCCCGAGGAGTCAGTGTATGTTCACTGGCTCCCTAACTCCTGCAGAGGTTGTCCCCCGCTTTGTGGGCCTCTTCGCCACTCCCTTGATTGTTTCCTTTGCTGTGCAGAAGCTTCTCAGTTTTATGAGATCCTGCTTACCATTTGTTTGCTTTCATTCCGGAGAGAATGGAATTGTCTTCAGAGAGCCCTTCCCCGCACCTATATCCTGTAGAGTACTGCCTGTGTTCTCTTCTAGCAGTTTCGGGTTTTACATTGAGGCCTTTAGCCAGTTGAGCAGGGTGATAGATAGGGGTTTAATTTCATTTTTCTACATGTGACCATCTAGTTTCCCAGCATCATTGTCTTAGTTTGCTTTCCATTGCTATGATAAAACACTCACCAAGAATCCCAGCACTTGGGAGGCAGAGGCAGAGCTGAGGACCGAACCCAGGGCCTTGCGCTTGCTAGGCAAGCACTCTACCACTGAGCTAAATCCCCAACCCCAAGGCTACTGCTTTTTATAAGTTGATTTTGTGTATGTGTTTTCTGCCACTTGGCTGTACATATTGTTTGTTTCTAGAAGTTCCCTGGTGAAATTTTTGGTATTTTTTTTATATATATTATCTTCTACAAATAGGGATAATTTGGCTTCGTTTCTTACCAGTGCCCCTTTAATTTCCTCCTCCTGTCGGAATGCTCTAGCTATGGCTTCAAGCACTGTAGTGAAAGGCAGCTGTGCTCTATACCACCAGTCTACCACCAGCACTATACTGAAAAGGAGTGGGGTGGTCCACAGCAGCTCCAGCTGGGCCTGGGCAAGGGATCGGGGCCACTCACCTGTCTGGACCGCACTAGGATGGGACACTGGACAGGCCTAGCGTGTGGGGCCGTTCCGAGGGGGGCGGTGAAAACTGGTTGGTTTGCGCTCCATGTGGCGCTGGATGGGCCTGAGAGTGGGGGTTGTCTCAAGTAATCTTACTTCTTTATGGTTTGTTAAGAATCTCCTGGTCGTCTGCTGTATTCCTTAGATTCTGAGAAGCCTCATTGTGAGTTTGCAGTGACTGGAAATGTGCATCCTGAGGCAGCGGTCAGAGTTGTCCAGTGCATGGCCAGGTTCATGGCTGCCTATTTTACCAATGAACCGCTCTGCATTCTTCCACCTCACAGTGTGAATGTTCTTCCGCCACTTCATATTAAAACAGGTAATATGGTAAACAAATACTTTTCCACCGTGCCTTCACACATGCTACCTAAAGTCAGTATCTTATGGACATTGCACTGTTTTAAGCTTTACTCAAGCCTGCCTCTGGTGCTGAACATTATTTGTTTTAACCTACCGACTAGCTGAGATTATAGGTGTGAGCTGCTACTCACAGCTCACACTAATTCACCTATCTTCCTTTCATCTTTCATTCCTTGTTTCTTTAATTAATTAATTCTGACAGCAGGAGGTGTTGAAGCCAGCGCCTCATGCATGCTTGGCAAATGCTCCATCAACCCCTTTTCTGTTCTTGCTTTCTGAGACAAGCCTTCATGTGCCGTGTAGGCCTTAAGCTCACTGTGGAGCCAAGCATGGCCTTGGATATCTTTAGATCCTCCTGCCTCTGCTTCCCAAGTACTGTGAGTGACATGTGCCATACCTGGCTGTCAGCCCTTGTGTGTGTGTGTGTGTGTGTGTGCGCGCAGGTGTGTGCAGGCGTGCACACATTCATGTATGTGCAGAGGCCAGAGAAGGCCTCAGATGTGATTCCTCAGGCACTATCTGCCCATTTTTTCTTTTCTTTTTCTTTTTCTTTCTTTCTTTCTTTTTTTTTTTTTTTTTGGAGACAGGGTTTGTCTGTGTAGCTTTGGAGCTTGTCCTGGAACTTACTGTGTAGACCAGGCTGGCCTCGAACTCACAGAGATCAGCCTGCCTCTGCCTCCCGAGTGCTGGGGTTAAAGGCATGCGCCACCACCACCTGGCTTTACCCATTTTTTTCTTTGTGTTTGTTTTTGAGTTGGGACAGGGTCTCTCACCAAATAGACTGGATTGGTGGCCCCACATCTCAGGGTCATTTTATCTATGCTGTCTCAGTCCAGAGATTACAAGCATACACAAGCATGCCTGCCTTTTTTTAAAAAAAAAATTTATTTATTTTTTTGGTTTTTTTTTCGAGACAGGGTTTCTCTATGTAACAGCCCTGGCTGTCCTGAAACTCACTCTGTAGACCAGGCTGGCCTCATACTTACAGAGATCCACCTGCCCCTGCCTCCCAAGTACGGGATTAAGGACATGTGCCATCAGTTCAGGCATACTGCCTTTTTTTTATGTGGGTTCTGGAGCTCAAACTGAGGTCTTCATGTCTGGAAGGCAAGCGCTTTATTGACTAAACACTCTCTCCAGACCCCAGTCCTATTTTCTTTTCTTTTTTTTCAGATGAAAACTAATATGTTTCGAATATTTTCTGAAATTAAAAAAAAATTTTGGCTCTATGGATAATGTAAAATGAGATTAAATCTGTCTTTCAGATTTCATAATCTGCTATGACAAATAGGAACATATTTCTGAATAGTTCTGAATACATTTGTAAAGCTGTATTTTATTTTTAATTATGTACATGTGTATATTTGTGTGTGGTATGTGGATGTGAGCACTGCCCAGGGAGGCCAGATGAGGACATTAGGTCCCTTGGAGCTGGAGTTACAGATGATTGTGAGCTGCTGGTCATGGTGCCGGTCATGAACCCTGATCTGGGAGAGCATCCTGTGCTCTCGAGCACTGAGCCGTCTCTGAAGGCCCGATCTGGTTCATACGTGTGCACATTTTATCTAACCCACAGGATTCCCCTTTCTGTTGTGTAATGCACTTACTCTATTTCTGCTGTGTTTCTTCATTTTTTAAGAATGTTTGTATTTTATGCATAACACAGTTAAGGAAGCACATAATTTCAATCTTAACAAAACTGTTCTAGAGGGTATTTTATTTCATTCTGTATGCCTCCTCACTGTTGTGTTGGAAGATACTAACTAAAGAAATTTAATTAGGTAAGGAGGCATGAGTTGGAGTATATGTATGCAATTGTCATATCATTTTCTCTAATTCACTCGCAGAGCATTCCTTACGACTTATTCCTCTACAACACTCTAAGGTGGCCAGTTTTGTTAGAGATCAGAATCTCTCAAATGTATGGACAGTTGAATATGCTCTCGAATTGCTATTTATTGGTGGCCTGATTCCAGAGGCTGTGTGGTTGGCACATAAACTTGGAGACTGGAAGACATCTGTTTCCATTGGTGTGGCCTTCCAAGTTTTCAGTAAGCATAATCGCAATTTTGTGAGGTATGAATTCTCAAAGTTTATTTATTTATTTGTTTGTTTGTTTATATGCGTTTGGGTGCATACATATCATAGTGCCTATGTGGAGGTCAGAGCACAAGTTGTGGGAGTCATTTCTCTCTCCTGCCATATGTCTTCCAGGGATTGAAGTCAGGTCATCAGACTTGGCAGCAGGTGCTTTTACCTGCTAAGGTATCCCAGCAGCCCAAGGTATGGGTTTCTGGACAAGCTTCAAATACGCACAATCATAGCATCTTAGTATTTTACATTTTCTTCTTGTTGATATTTGCATATGTGGAATCCTTCCTTCTGCATTGTCTGATAGGACCTCTTTCTAATGTTTTTGTCCCTGCTGCACAGTGTGGTAGCCCCCAGCTGCAGTAACTGTTGAAGTCTGGAAATGTGGCTGGTGACACCAGGGAGTTGAACTCTCACTTTAAAGTAAAAGCAAATACTCTCTGTGATTACTGTGTTGGACAATGCTCAGCGGCTTACTGATTTTTGCTGACGCACTTACCTAGCATGTTTAGGTTAGTGATATTCTAAAAAGGCAATTAGATAGTTGGGGAGTTTATCCCACATGGGATTTGGACGTTGTTTTTTCTTTCCCTTCCTGCCCTTTCTTTTACTTTCTTTTCTCCCTTACACTGTCTCTCCGCTCCTGCCTTGCAATTCCCCACTCCCTTCTTTCTGGATAGGATCATGCTGCGTAGTGTAGGCCGGTCCCAAACTCACTGTCCTTCTGCTTCCGCCTCTTGAGTGCCGGCATTGTGGGCCTGCAGGACCTCGGTGGGTGGGGGTTTGAGTTTAGGCTCAGTAAACTAATCTCTCACTTTTCATTATTTGTTTGTGTGTTTTCGAGACAGGGTTTCTTTTGTTATGTCACCATGGACAGTCTTTTATGTAATTTCAATGATCCAACATGTATTTATTAACTGATCAGCACAATGCTTTGTGACAGGCATTCTAATGGATGTAAACTTTTTAAGGTGCTTAGACTTTGTCATAAATAGGACAAAACGTTGTAAATTTTGCAGTGTGTGAGACAGCTTCCAGTGTTGTGATGGAGAGAATGGTGATAGCAATGAGGGAGGGCCAGAACTCTTCCCTGTGGGAGGTGTGCTTTCACACGCACACTGGAGGGTAGGGAGGCCGTCCTAAGTGTGAGCAAAAGCATCTGGCAAAGAACTTGTGGCTTACTTTGGGTAGAGTACTTATGAAGGGTGCCAGTGAGGATGGAGAGATACTGTATTCTCTGAAAACCCTTAACATGGGGTTTGCTTTCTGTAAGTAGGGTGTACAAAGCAAGTGACTCCATATTTTCTTAAATACATTTACTTCTTGATGTAAAGTCTTTTCTTTTCCCAAAATTTTATTTCTCTTAATTTGATGTCATTTCAGGTCCAAGAAAAAGGGTATGGACCTACCCTTAAATATGATACCAGCACAGATTTTTCAGGAAAAACTGCAATGTTTTTTAGGTCAGCCAGTCCCTTTGGAAGCAAAAAATGAAAAGAGCTCAAAATATAAGCAATTTACAGGTGTGTTATCTACATGTGTTCTAAGTATATCATGTTCATATAAACCTGCGCTATTACAAAAACTTATGAATATTTTGAAGTATGAACACCTTGACAAAATTATCAAAAATTTAAGAATATTTATACGTACTCATGGGAGTACCTAACACTGATGCCAGGTGAGCTGGAGTGGTGACTGAGTGCCAGAGCACTTGCCTGGTGTGTGCTTTGCTCGGGGTCTGATCCTGAGCACCACAAGAAGGAGGAAAACTGGTGTCGGGTGAAAACAGATTGTGGGATGGGAATACCACTCAGTAGTAGAACACTTGCTGTCCTGTAAGAGGCCCTGGAGTCAATCTTCAGCATTGCCAAAACCGAAACAAAGCAGCCACACTGGAATTACATTCTGTGTGTTTTGTACGTACATTTATAGTTACTGTTATCTTGGAGATGGGGTCATGTTGTTATCCCAGTGTGACCTTGAACACTGATCCCTTCCTCCTGCCTTGGGCTCCTTCTGAGGGCTAGGACGACAGTCATGAGCTACCACACCTGGCTAATGTTACCTTGATCATGTTTGATAGATCCCATCGAGGAAGAAGATGCTAATGTGCTGTTTGGGTCTGTGCAAGAAGTGCTGAAAGCGTCAGTCATGGCGGACGCAGACATTGTTTCCGAGACGCTGCAGCTGTTGGTGGAGTCTGCCAAGGACTTCAGTAGGAAGCTGTGGGGCTTAGTGCCCGTCGACTTGTATCTTCCAGCACCTCCCTTGTATTGCCCCCAGCCAGCTGTTCTTAGTGAAGTAAGCACAGTGCGGCCTTCTCTTAGTTCACGTTGAATTTGTCTACTTTAAAATAACCTGATAATAGTGATCTTGTTACAAATGCAAGTTAACTTCTGGTTTCCAGCAAAGTGTGGTCTTAGGTAATATACCAAACAGCTGTGTAAGTAATAGATAACTGTTCTGTTGTCCTCAGGAACATGGTGACAATCTTCTTTTAAAGGCTGAAAAAGATAATCGCCAAAAGCTGTCTGGAATCCTGCAGCGAGTTCTCCTGCTTTTCCGGGCAGCTCGATGCTCCTTTTCTGTAGCGCAGTGGTACATCTTGCAGCTGAGGTGGGCAAGAAAAGTCATGCAGAAGGTATGGACTGACTTGGTCATTCAAGTGCTGTGTAAGGCCTCTGTGCTGTGCTCACATTTACTCCAAGTGCTTTCGTAAGGAGTGCTGCCCTGTGAGTCTACAAGTCTTGGGTTTATTTATAATGAACAACTCAGGCCAGGTTTTTCTGACTGAGAGATACCACTGTGAAGTAAGTCTGTGGGTTAGCTCGCCCTTATGAAAATAGAAGGTGTCACTATCTAGTAAATTCTTCCAGACTCTTCCTACTCTTTCCACCCCTGAATCATGGAAGATTTTTTCTTTTTAGGACTTCTTCTCCCCCACTTGTTCCAGAGGTAAAATCTGTGTTTTGTGGCAACCTCAGGGGTTCCAAGCATGGAAAATTAAGAGTGAATTCTGGGCTGCTTACTACCAGGAGTCTTTTTCACTGGCTAGGACTTCCTTTGCTGTCTTCTGAGATGTGCAGTTTGATTCTGGCCCTTCCATGCTCTTTCAACCTGACATTTGCTGACTCACATGTGCTCAGGCTGAGCAGGTATTGAATCTGTTTCATTATCCAGTTGCAAGTCCTTAGTTTTGAAAATTGGCGGGTTTTTTTGTTTGTTTTGTTTTTGTTTTTGTTTTTGTTTTCACAGATGGGACAAAATCTCATTGTATAGCCCAGGCTAGCCTTTAACTCAGGCTTCTGAGTACTAACTAGCATTCAACTCAGCAGGCATGTGCCACCATGCTTGACCAAAATTAGCTTTAAAAAAACTTAAAACAAACAAAAAAGCCGGTCGGTGGTGGCGCACGCCTTTAACCCCAGCACTCAGGAGGCAGAAGCAGGTGGATCTCTGTGAGTTCCAGGCCAGCCTGGTCTACAGAGCAAGTTCCAGGACAGGAGCCAAAAGCTACGCAGAGAAACACTGTCTCAAAAAACAAAACAAAACAAAACACAAAACCAAAACCCAACTTTATGTATGTGTTACATATATGTCTGTGTGTGTTTTGTATGTGTGAAAGCTGGTGTGTGCTTGCCACCGTGTGCATAAGAGGGTCCAAGGACACCTCAGGTGTCAGTCCTCATCTTCTTTATTTGTGACAATTTGCTACCGCATATGCCAGGCTAACTGGCCCTCAAGAGTCCAGCGATGCTCCTGTCTCCACCTGCCCTCTTGGCCTAAGAGCACTGAAATTACAAGCTCGTGCTGTGACCTGCCTAGTGTGGACCCTGGAGCTCTGAACTCAGGTCCTGACTCTCACATGGCAAGCACTTTCTCAACTGAGCCGTTTCCTTAGCCTCCAATTAGCTTTTGTTGGTTTTGAGATGTTTCACATGCAGCCCTGGCTGACCTGTGCTTCCTGTGTAGACCAGACTAGCCTCCAACTCCTAGAGATCCACATGCTTCTGCTTCCTGAGTACTGAGATTTAAAGGTGTTCACCATGTTGCCTGGCCTGTTTAGGCTTTTTAAAGAGAAAAATGAGGATTAAAAATAGGTTAAACTGCGTTCATTGTCATTACAATGAAGACAAAAAGTCGGCAGTGGTTTCCAAGGTCTGGAAAAGGGGAAATAGAAGGTGAGGACTCCAGAGGGACAGGGAGGGAGGAAGGGAGGGAGAGGTGTTGATGAAAAAGTTCTTGAATTAGTTATTATTTATGGTTGACTAATTGAATATCGCAAAACGAGCCAGGTAGCCGTCACTTATAAAGATGAGCTATATAAAGGTCTTTAAATTTTAATTCCAATTTAAAAAAATGTTACCAAATTAAATGTCTGTACCGTATTAGTTTTCTATTTCATGCTAACAAATTGCCAGCATTGTGACTTAAAACCACGGCCCCTCACTTCACTGTTTCTGTGCATCAGAAGTCCTGTGAGCTAAGCTGGTTCTGTGCAAAGCCACTGAAGGGTAACAGCAGAGCTCTGCACCCTTCTCGTGTCCTGATGGGAGAACCCATTTCCAGACTCGTTCAGGGTGTTGCCAGTTCAGTTCATGCGGCCATAGGACTGAAGTTCCCATTTCCTTGCTCGGTCTGCCTCTTCGTACCATCCTTCTAGTAAAGAGTTTGATGGAGGGGCGGCCATTAGCACGCTTACAGAGCATTTGGTCAGATCACACCTTTCTTGAAGTGACAGGTGGAAGGAGACTGTAAACTTACTGCTCACCTTTTCTCCTGATGTCTATAACAGCATCCCTCCCTAAAAAGAAAAAGCCCTTGATGTGTTAGAGAGCAGTGATCGTTCTGTACCGAACTCTGCACTTGTGATCCTTTCTTCACATTTCTTCATTTAATGCCATTCAACTTGTTCATCCCAATGATTTCCTGGAAACTCGTTGATATCTACCCACCGAGCTACAGAAGTTTTGAGTATTTTCGGGCTCAGATCTTCTTGGAAAGAATCCTTTGTAACTATCATGTACTTGGCTGTGGCCCCACAGTTTTAAAAGTGAAATAGCTTAAGGAATTTGGGTCATGTCAGACCTTGCATCAAGTTCTCCGTCAACCCATCAACTTCTTTTCTAGTTTGGCATTTTGTCGATAGTCCTTTCCTAGAGTCATTGCTTTTTAGGACTTGTCAATTGATGACTTTCCATTTCTCTCATTTGTAGATTCACTTTTTGAAAGTTATATATGTAAGTAAGAGTTTTGTTTGTTTGTTTGTTTTTGAGACAGGGTTTCCCTGTGCAGCCCTGACTGTCCTGGAACTCACTATTTGTAGACCAGAATGATCTCAAACTCACAGAGATCCGCCTGCCTCTGCTTCCCAAGTGCTGGGATCAAAGGTGTACACCAACACCACCCAGTTAAGAAGGTTTTTTGTTTGTTTGTTTTAGGTACTGCACAGTTAATTTCAGATGAGATTTAAATATTTTCTTGCTCATAACTGTAGGGAAAGACAGAGATGAATATAGGAGAACTGAGTGACAAGACCATGCAAATGGTTTGGCACCTTTTTCTTTTCAGATAGAATGTAGTGAATGAACGCTGAGTTACATCTGTGAGCTGAGTCTCTGAGTGCAGCTCACTGCAGTCTGCTGATGCTGTAGCAGAGGACCAATGCCGCTTATGTTCTGTGTGGATTTTCTTGTCTACCTTGTCTTGTAGTTTCCTGTAAAGCTTGTTTACTACTGATGATTAACATATTATCTCATTTTTTTCAGATTCGATTGAAGGGATCTCTGCCTTCACTTAGCTCTTTCCCCGAATCCTTACTTAACTACTGTAAAGGAGGGATAGCATTCTTCAGACCTGGAGCAGCTGGAGACCACAGGCTTGATGAAGTTTCCATCAAAGCACTAGGTTTGTCAGAAATGAGCTACTCGGTTAGAGCGCAGCTGCATAGGAACTGTAATGTGCTTTTCACTTGGTCTGGGAACGTTTCCAAGCTCTTGACTCTCATTTGCTCTTTGGTACTCTACTTAGGGTTTACACTTAGACACTCTGACATGTATGTCTGTAGATGCTGTATGTGTATGGTAGTACATTAAAATTTCATGATATAAAACAAATTGTGACAATTGTTGCTTCCTTGTTTAAATTTGGAATTTGAGCACTCAAGAAGGTCTTTCTTATAGTCATTCTTTTGCAGTGAAGATACACTAACTGCCACACTGTTAAGTGGGCAGGCTTTGAACCTGTCCGTATGGATGAACCAACTTCGTTTCCTGACTTAACCTATTCTATGTAGGCTTTTCCTATGTTTTATACATTAGTATGAATTATTTTTTATGACTTTTATTAGCAGACATTAAGTTGCCCCTGGCATATCGATTCTGTTTGTATTTTAAAATGTTTCCTTAGAGTCTCAGAAGTATATTTTCTGAGTTAATGAATTTAATCATCTCTTATCTCTTGAAGTAATATGCCAAATTTTATTTGGTGCCAAAAAACCTGTCAGCTGTATGTTAATAAACCCTTGTTTTTGAAGTAACATCTCCCTCAGATAGTTTTGTTTTGATATGTCTTTATTTGATTTTGTGTTTTGAGATAGACTCTCATGCCACATATCCCAGGATAGCCTTGAGCTCATGATCCTCTTATCATGGTCTTCTGAGAGCTGATGTTACACATGTTACCACCATCCCAGGCAAAAACATCAAGATGTTTTTCTTACGACTAAGTATGTTATCCATTTAGTTCTTTGTCTGCATTTTCTTTTGTAAATTAATTTCTAGTTCATAATTCATAATTCTAGTCCAGTTATATGTTTGACAGGCCTAAAGGGTTAGTAAAACTTTGGAAGACATAGAGAGAAAGTGTGTGTGTGTGTGTGTGTGTATGCGCGCGCGTTGTAGCATTAGGAGTAAAACTCAGGGCCAGGTCTGAGAACAGCCATGCCCACAGGCCTTTTGACCTTTTTAATAAATTAGTATTCTGGGCCTGTGTAATGGCTCGTCAGATTAAGGTGCTTGCAGCCTCATCTGACAACCTAAATTCAATCCCTGGAACCCACATGGTAGAAAGAGAACTGACTCTTGCATGAAAGCCTGTGGAACATGCACAGTTAGAAATTTGCCTGCCAGGTATGAGGCCCTGGGTTCAATTCTTAGTACTATAAAAATAAGTGATATTCTGACTAATATACAATATGGAGTTTGTGTTGGAATTGAAAAATATCTACAATATACTATGAATTTATAAGGCAAGTAAATCAGAAGTAAATAGATTAAATCATTTACTCTGTAAACTTGTTTTCATATCATTATGCAACTGATATTTATAAAATATTCTAGAATAATATATATTAAAATTCTAGAAGGATCTCCATGACTTTTATATGAATATGTTTCCAATGAACACACTTTTGGTTTTGTTGTTTTGGCATGTGAATGTGTATATTCATATTTACATATTTATGTGTGCATGCATGCAAGCATGTGTATGTGTGTGGAAGCCAGAGGTTAACATCAGGTATCTTTCTTGATCACTCTCCACCTCATACACTGAGGTGCCTCAATTGATTCCAGAGCTCCTTGATTTGGTTAGTCTAGCTAGCCACCTTTGGGAGCTTCCATCTCACCTCTTTTTGTTGTTTTTTTAGACAGGGTTTCTCTGTGTAACAGTTCTGGCTGTCCAGGAACTCGCTCTGTAGACCAGGCTGGCCTTGAACTCACAGAGATCCGCCTGCCTCTGCCTCCCAAGTGCTGGGATTAAAGGTGTGCTCCACCACTGCCCATCCCATCCACCTCTTAAGTGCTAGGGTTACAGTGTGGTGCCACACTTTCCCAGAATTGGCATGGGTGCCCTGGGCCGGACTCCGATCCTCACACTTGCAGAGCAGTAAGCACTGTACTTATTGAGCTGTCTAACCTGCCCCATAGTTGTCTTTGATAACCATCAGAATAAAGGCATTTATTTTGAAAACAAATAACCTGCAGCTGTAACACATACTTTTCTTTTCCGTTTGTGTTTTTAGGGTGCTTCAGAGAGCTTTGTGCTTTGTGCTGGATGTTGCATATCCGGGATAAATTATCATACAGTTGCAGGCAGTATCAGAAGGCAAGAGAAAATGTGAAGGTAGAAAAGGTACTTATCAGTTCAAGGATAGAAATAAACCTTACTTGGAAAATTATTGCTTAACAGAAGAGATTACCCTTTGTAGTACAGTATTCTCTTGAACTCATTCTGATCTGTCCATGTAAACTGAAAAGACAGTCTTCTCCATATCCACGTAGGACCTCGAAGTGGAATTTGATTCTTGTGTGGTTGAGCACTGTTTTCATGCACTGGAATGGGCCTGTAGAATGCTGCCGTTCTCTCGGTTTTTTAATGTGGAAGAACTTATTCAGGATTTAATTTTGAGCCTTATTGGAGAACTGCCACCAATCAGGAAGGTAATGTGTTGGTAAAAATAAACTAAATCTGAATCATAGACCTAAGGGATTTCTGTTTTAGTTAGGGATAGTGTTGCCTTTTCCTGTCTGACTGATAGCACTTTGCATAATATCCTCCAGGTTCAGAAAGACAGGTATGATCTCACAGGTGGACTAGAGCTCGTGGAAGCAGAGAGCAGAACGGTAGACCCAGGGCTAGGGGTGTGTGGAAGTAGGGGTGTTGGGAGTATGGTGAAAAGGGGTCATGTCATCCCTCTCTAAGTCATCGTCCTCTCTTCTCAAGTCTTCCCTTTTCTTGGAACAGCGGTTCCGTAGCTAATGGACTGATCTCTCTCAGATCCATTTCAATGTATTTTTTTCCACAGTAGATATTTTTTTATGTTAGTTCTAAGTGCATAGAGAAAAATAAACCATTTCTTGTTTTGTTTTGTTTTGTTTTTTTAAAGTGGAGGGGATGAGGAGATGTTGACTTAAGGATCCAAATTTGCATTTCTAATGTAAATCAGTTCTAGGAGCTAGTGTACAGCGTGGAAACTTTAGTTAATGATATGCTATGATTTACCTGAAATTTGATAAAGGAAATCTTAAGTGTTCTTAGAGTGTATGTGCACACATCCGGTGTTTACTATGTTTGGTGATTGACATGCTAATTTGGCTAAGATACTCAACGTGAATTATATATTAGATCATCACATCCTATACCTTGAATAATTTCGTCAAATGCTTTAAAATACAATAAAAGAGGAAGAAAGAAAACCCATGCTGATTTTTGGTAGCTTTGTTGAGCATCAAAAGATTATTAAGTAGACATTTATGTTTTGATTTAAACTGTTTGAAGGATTACAAAGAAAAAGACTGATGTTGCTCATAAAACATTATTTTTTTTTCTGAAGGTAGCAGAAATTTTTGTGAAAGCATTTCCCAATCCGGAGGCCATAAGGGTTCCTTTAAGAGAAAAATACCACTCTCTTCAGCAGAGACTCAGACATGGTGTTGTAAAAGGTATTTGCTATTTCTCATGTTTAATGGATACATTGTTGAAGATGCTCTTTTTTTTTTTAGGGATTTATTTTTATTTATGTGTGTATGCCATGTGTGTGCAAGTGCCTTTGGAGACCTCAGTTCCCCTAGAGTTGGAGTTACAGGAAACTGAATTGCCTGAATTGCATGCTGGGAACTGAACCTGGTCCTCTGGAAGAGCAGCAGATGCTCTTTACTGCTGAGCGGTCTCTTGAGCTCCACGATGCTCTTGTTTTTAAAGTATCTGCCGCCTGCCCCCTAGGTACCTGAATTTCTGCGTCTTCCTAATGGTGGAGAATGAGAATGTGGATGCATTACCCCACTGCAGAGCTAATGTTGGTCTGTTGCTAGATGGAGCTGACTTCATGTTATAGCTCTGTTGGTAATTATGTCTTAGGCATGTTGCTCAATCTCTCTAGGCCTCATTTCCTTATTTAGAAGCAAAAAGGTTATTCTATTACCTACTTGATCAATATGTATTGAGAGAGGATTAAACAAGGAAAGAGACAGATATAAAATGAGCAGATAGTCTAGGATGCCCTGTGGGGAGTCCATGCTTTCAAAACCATCCTGGTCGACACAGCAGAATTTCACCTGAAAAATGAAATGAGATAGAGCATATGGTCTTTGCATACTTCATGTGTTTATTGAAAACTCGTGTTTCTTTTCTTTGCTTCAAGTTATTTATGTTTCTGATTTTATCCTGTACATTCAAGATGTCCTCATTTTTTTTATTGTGGCAAAATGTATAGAACATAAAACCTACCATTTCACCTTTCTCCTCCTCCTTTCCTTCTCTTTGCCATGATGGAGAACAGACCCGGAGCCTCTCGGCCTCTTGCTCGTGCTCCGCCACCAAAGTATAGGAGTTATGAAATCTTAAATGTCTTCTTCCTTCTCCTTTCCAGAGGTACAGCCTGCTGTGTACTTTGAGTTGTGCCCTGTGCAGTTGTACTTACATATTTCTTGATACTTCTATCTTCTGAAATATCCTCTGTGTATTAATAATGCTTAACTTTTTAATAGACAATCTTGGAAACCTTAACCTCGCTATTATTTCTCATTACGTGTAATAAGAAAGCCTCAATTCCTGCTAAAAAATACTCTTGCTTTCTTTTTTTCCCTTTCACTAGGAATAGAAAATATTCTTTGTCATTATTTATTCATAATTGTATCTCTTTTTTAAGAAAATGAGGCTGCTTTTATTATATTTTATTTTTTTAAAGATTTATTTATTATGTATACAAGTGTTCTACCTGCATGTGTGCCTGCAGGCCAGAAGAGGGCACCAGATCTCATTGAGGATGGTTGTGAGCCATCATGTGGTTACTGGGGATTGAACTCAGGACCTCTGGGAGAGCAGCCACTGCTCTTAACCTCTGTGCCATCTCTCCAGCCCCTATTTGCTTGTTTCTTGCATTGAGGTTCTTTACAATGATACCATGGCCTGAGATTTTTTGCTGTAGTCCTTACCTGCTACACAGCTGCAACCAGTCATTTTATTGGGCTCTTCCTCTAAACCAGTTTTGCAGAGACTTTCCTACCCCTTAATTTCTCTTTGTCATCAACCTTACGTAGGCTGATTTGGTGTTCTGTACCAGCAGCCTCGGCTGTCTTCACATAGTAGCTTCTCACGGAGGGATGCAAGCACACAGAGATGGGATTGGTGCCTGTCTGTGGCTTGGACAGCCTGTGAGTCGGGCCGTCAGGGTGAAGGAGTGCTTCAGAAGCTTTCAGAGAGTCATACTAACATCCATTACACCTGCATCGGAAGTACCTTGTTCAGCTGTGCTGGGGGTGGGTTGGTTGGTTGGTTGGTTGGTTGGTTGGTTGGTTGGTTGGTTTCTAGTCTGACTTGTAATCCTCCGGCCTAGCCTCCTGAGTTGGTATAAGATGCACAGGTGCACATTTCCACACTTGACTTACCCAAAAGTTCTTTTCCCTGAGGATCCACTTTTTAAAAAGGGGAGAGGGGAAATCTCAGTTCTTTCCCTTTTCTTGTTCCTTAATGGACCTTATTCAGCTTCTGCAGTCCTGTTTTTTGTTTGTGTTTTTTAATGGTTCATAGCTTTCCAACAAATACTAAAAAATATAATCTGTAAGAATGTGGAAATAAGCCTTAGTAGTTTAATTCTATGTCCCCTGACAGAATTAGATCCTTCTCTTCCTCCCGCTCTTCCCCCTCCCTTCCATCTCCCTTCTTCCCCCTCCCTTCCATCTCCCTTCTTCCCTCCTTCCCTCCCTTCCTCCCTTCCTTCCTTTCATCCATCCATCTCCTTCTTACCTCCCTTCTTTCCTTCCTTTGATACAGCTTTGCTATGCAGCTGTGGATGGTCTGGAACTTATTGTGTAGACAAGGCTGGCCAGAACCTGTTCTGATCCTCCCGACTCCGCCCCCTGGGTGCTGGGATTACAGGCATGTACTACTACTGTGCCTGGCCTTAAATCGTGAGTTGAAACATTTTGATGAGCCCTAAGGTCTTTGGTTCTTTTTTCCCTAGGTCCTCAGACTGAGGAACTGATGTCTGTGGTCATGCGTTCTGTCCATAAAGTGAGGGTGAAAGCCCTGAAACGTGTGCAGAGGAACATAGGTGCTGCTGAGATGAACATCTGGGAACCAGAGGAAGAGGAGAAGCCAGATGCTGCTCCAGCTTCTGACAGGTTCTCCCTGGGGACTAGTTGGAGCAGAAGCACACTCACAGAACTGGGCAGCTCCCTGGTGCACAGTGATGCAGATACATTCTCCGAAACCGTGTCCTTTGAAGAAAAAACTTGGATACACTTTTATCAAAGGTATACCTGGGAGCCCCTAGTACAATTGCCCACTCCTCCTGGAAGAGAGTGCAAGTGAAGAGCTGATTTTCAATCCAGAAACCTCAGCAATATAAAAAGGAGATAAATGCCAACCTCTGTTCTCACAGGGGCATTACAAGTTTATAAACTTAAGAATTCATTGTAAATATTACTGAGATTATAGAATGATTTTGTCATCTAAGATATTAATCAAATGGATAGACAGTTCAATTGAGGACTTTGAGTTCTTTATTTTTTTAATAATCTTTAGATTTAGTGTGTGTGTGTGTGTGTGTGTGTGTGTGTGTGTGTTTTGAGACAGGATCTTATTATGTAGCCCTACCAGGACTCGAACTCAGAGATCTGCCTGCCTCTGCATCGTTAGTGCTAGGATTAAAGGCCTAACCACCATGCCCAGCTTAATCTTTAGATTTAAATACAAGTTGAACATACTTAATTTAAAAGCCTAAAATGTGAAATTCAGCTTAAAAATCCAGTAAAATAGTGAAAGTTGAAAATTCATGCCCATGACAGGTCAAAGTAAAAATGGAGGCACACTAAGATACTATATAGACTTTCCTTTAGGCCACTAGGTATAAGAATTATGGGATTATTTGAAATTTAAATGAAGATTGCGTTTGTTTTGTTTTTAGTGCTGGAGCTAGAATCCAGGCCCTTGAACATTACAGATAATTGTTATATCACTAAACTACCATTCTTGTGCCTTAGCCCCAAGATATCTCATTATATAATTGCCAGTATCATCCCCCCCCCCCCCAAAAAAAAAGCCCCAGTTACACTCAAAACACTTCTGGTCTCCAGATTTTCAGGTGAGGGGTACCCACCTGTAGTTGGATGTGATTGGGTTAGCCACGTTATGTTTGAGGACCCCCAGGGAACTTGCACACTTATCTTTAGAACTTGTTCATAAATTCTTGCTTGTTGTACAAGCCTGTGAGTTAAGGCATTGGGTTTTGTTTTGATTAAGATCCTGGTGACTACAATGCAATATGTCCTCTTGTGACTTAAAAACTATATCATCAATAATAACTTTCATCTGGAGTTAAATTATCATATCTATCCAAACATACTTGAACCTAATGACATTTTAATAGTGTGCTTGTTTAACAAAACAGCTGTGCTTGCACACATAGGCATACTTTGCAGGCTGCTTGGGGCATTCTGGGTAAGCAGACATGCATTCACCTGGGCCCAGGTGCCTCACAGCTTTTCTCATACTGAGAGATCTGAGAATCTAACAACTGCACTGAAAAGTCACTTGACAATTGCGCCTGATAGCTAAGGTGCCTGTCAACAGGTTTCATGGCAGCTATGTGTTCAGACTGTTGTCTGAAAAGACTCTAAGCGTTTATGTAGTGGAACTTAAGAAATTATGCTACTTGTTTACACGGGTTGAAAGAGGCAGTGGAAAGAGAAGCATGGAACACTAGATGCATATTGGTGGCTTGTGATTTTTGTTGACTTTGATTTTCTGAATTTTTTATTAGAGGACTGTTTTTACCTTCTGAATGAACTTTCATGATTTTTATATTTATATTTATTTATTTGTGCGTGTGTGTGCGCGTGCGTGCGTGCGTGCGTGCGTGTATGTGTGTATGTGTGTGTATTTCTGGTGTATGGGGGTAAGCACATGTCATGACATTCCTGTGGAGGTCAGAGGACAAGTTGAGAGAATCCGCTCTCTCCTTCCGCTGTGTGGATTTCAGGATCAAGCTCAGGCTTGGCAGCAGCAAGTGCCTTTACCCACTGAGCCCTCTTCCCAGACTCCTGTTCTCTCTCGCTAGTGAGTTTTTTTATGTGAATTTAACACTTCAATTTCTTTTAATGCCTAGTTTCCCTTTGCATAGTGTACTTTTAAAAATAGTTATTTTTACTTCATGTGTATGTATGTGTACAAGGCATGTGCCTGGTTCCTATGGAGATAAGAAGAAAGCATTTGATCTCCTGAAACTGAAGTTACAAAGAGTTTTGAGCTGCCCGACATGGGTGGCAGGAGCCACACCCGGGTCCTCTGGAAGAGCAGCGAGTGCTCTGAACTGCGGGGCCATCTCTCCAGCCCCTGTCCTTTTGACCTTATAGAATTGTCCGCTCCATAGAGAGCATGTTAGTTCATCATGCTTCTGAAAGATAGGGAATTGAAACACAAAAAAAGATACATGACTTGGTCAATACAGAAAATGTTTTTAAAACCTTTTAAGATCAATTTTAATAAACAATGGTTAAGTTTATCTTGTTCTTCTTTTTTTTTTAACCATAGACATGCCCCAAGTCATATGGAATTGACATTGGCTGGTAAGCCCAGTGATAAAAAGAAAACATGTAATCAGAAAGAAGGCTCCCAAAAGAAAGAAGATCATGAAATGTTAGGGAAAAAAGCACTTCCTACAGTTGGTGTTTGGGAATTTGAGCGTGATGATGATGAATATATTAACTTCCTTGAGCTCTTCTTGAGTTATGTTCTTGAAAGAGACCTTTGTTCCAGTGATCCTGGCATTCCATTTTTGACAAGTTTTTCTGGGCACCTTAGAGAACACGAACTTAACTCTTTACTTTTTGATGTGCACACAACATTAAAACGACGCCAGAGCAAAACCAGAAGCGAGAATGTGTTTAGAGCTGGGTCTTGCTTCGCTGTTGTTCCTGAGTCACACGAATGTGAAAAACTGTTCTCTCTAAATAGCGTGCACGCCCCAAATTTAGACAACCAGGCACTTTCAGCTCCAGGACCAGGTAACCAGTCAGCAAGCACTTCAGAGAACCCTCCACCTGAAGTCCCGAAAAGTGAAAGAAAGGCGGGATTGTTTGGCTTAAAACAGAAGCCACTTTATAGAACTCAAGATGACAAAGGAGAGAAGCCTGTAAGGCGGAGACCGTCAAGGCACTCCTTTTGGATTCCCAAGTCCGTTGAAACTGGGGGATACGGTTTCCGAGCAGTTGAGTGCAGTGCGGCCAGCCCCCAGGACGACCTTCCTCCGGCACTTGAGAACATGTTCGGCCCTGTCGGGAGACTGGTGGAGTGGATGGTGCGGTGGTCTGACCGAAGACTCCTCTGTGACTCTGGAGTCACTCAGTCATCCTGCAAATACAGTCCAGTAATCCGTGTCAAAACCTCTGCAGCTGCCATTCTTACCTCGTTCTGGCTTCTGGAGCAACCCTACCGTGCCGCACGTAGGGCAGAAAACAGCCTTACTAAGGTAATTACGTCAGCCACTTGCTACAAATGGAGCAAGTACCCTTCTAGTTGAAAACTTGTTTGCACTTTAAAAAAATCTATTAAAGAAAATTAATGACAGTGTTGATTATACTCTGTATACTCTTTTCTTAAAGAGATTCCTTTCGTTCTTTAATAAAAGGACAGTGGCCTGGTCAGTGGTGGCACACACCTTTAATCCTAGCACTCGGGAGGCAGAGGCAGGTGGATCTCTGTGAGTTAGAGGTCAGCCTGGTCTACAGAGTGAGATCCAGGGCAGGCACCAAAACTACATAGAGAAACCCTGTCTCAAAACACCTGCCCCCCGCAATCAGATAAATGCTATTGCTGAAGGAGACCCCCAAACAGTGTGAGCTCCCTCCCGGACCCTGGATTAAGCACAAACCACACCCAAACTTCACCTGTTCTCACAGAGAGCTCCTTTATTAAGCGAGAAAGAACCGTGAAAGTGGCTGCTTTCTGACTCAGGCAGAACACAGCAGCAAATGACCGTGCAGGTGTGATTTTTAAGAGAAGAAGGGAAGTCTAGGTTAGAATGGGCTAGAGTGTGGTGGTACAGAAGATAGGGGAAGAGGGAGAAGAGGAGGGGTACAGCGAAAGGGGGCAGGGGTATTTGTCCTGGAGGGACAAAGGACAGCCTCTGGATAGAGGGGAGACAGACATGGCCGGCCCATAGGCAAATGGAGGTTTATAAAGGTAAAGGGGGAAAACCCGTGTTGGGATGAGGTGTTTAATTTTAATTGGGCGTGTTAATTAGGTGAACCAAAGGGGGCTTCTGATTGCTGGACTTTGGTAGTCAGCCTCAGGAGGAGGAAGTGGCCAAAGAAGGAAACACACCTTGGAGGCTAGCTTTAGGAATGTAGTCTTTAGCAGGCAGAGGGGATGGGGGAGAAGGGCAAGGCCTGCTGGAGCCATGCTGGCCACACTCAGGCTGGCCAGAGTCCCTTCAATTACATTTGTATTTTTTCTCTTGTAAGTTTCACGTGTTAGTTGATATAAGGGGCCAGGTGACCAGGCATTTATTACTGAAGTTTTCATCAAATGTACTAGGGGATGTTTTTACTTACATTCTTGAGACAGAAAAGGTTGTGTGGCCAGAGGCATCTCACCTAGTCCTGCAGCTGCTTATAAAATAATCGCTCAGAGCTTACTATTGATTATAAGTGTGCTTCTAACAATGAGCCATCTCTCTAACCCCAGCACTTATATTTTTAGATGCATGTTTTTAACACTCTGTAATTACCAAGTATCTTTTAGTCTGTGTTTATGCGTGCACACATGCACAGAGGCCTGAGGCCAACCTCAGATGTCATTTCTCAAGTGCTGTCCACCTAGTTTTTTCAGACAGTGTCTCTCACTTGCCTGGAACTTGCTGGGAAGATTGGCTGGCTGGCCAGGGAACTCAGGGATTCCCTCTGCCTGCCCACAGCAGGGATTACATCACACCTGGCTTTGTTACATGAGTTCTAGGGATCACACTTGGGTCCTTTGCTTACGTGGCAAGGGACCGGAGGACAGAGCTACCTCCCCAGCTCCCACATGTCATTAAAATGGCAGGCAGGGAAATGAGTGCATCCAGTATTCACTACTGTTGTTTTATGGCCCCAAAACAGAGTTGTTATAGCTTACATATGTGGAAGAATAGGGGTTTTTGTTTGTTTGTTTGTTTGTTTGTTTGTTTTGAGACAGGGTTTTTCTGTGTAGCCCTGTCCTGTAACTCATTGTAGGCCAGGCTGGCCTCAACCTCAGAGATCCACCTGCTTATGCCTCCCAAGTGCTATGATTTCTGTGCTTTGTTTAGGAAGTCAGATTTACTTTTTCCAGGTAGACTGAAGAATTGACCATTGCTTCTAAAAACAAATAATTGGCTGTACAAATACTTAATGTAAATACTTAATGAACGTATAAAAGAATCAATCAGTTCTATAAAACGTAGGAATGATTTAAAAGTCTGCTTTTAAAAGGCGGTTCAACACTCCATACAGAATTCTGTAAGTGGTTTTCTTCAGGTGCTGGAGGATCATTCCACTGACTGTCCAGTGGCGCCCGAGGAGAGCGACGCTAATGACGACGACGACGACTGCCCAGCTGCAGTGGCAGCTCAGGCTGGAACCGAGGGGAGGAACAACCAGGATGAACGCTGTCAGAGCGTCTGGAGGTAAGTGGCTGTGTGCACCTCCTTTTCAATAAAGTCTGCTGGCTTAAGAGGAGGGCTTGAGCTCTTACAAAGGAAAGGAACGAGCATTTCTTTGCACTAGAGGAACAGAGAGTAAGCCTCCTGAAGTACTTTGACCGTTCCTTGTTAACTCGGTTTCTTCCATATTGATCTAGTGTGTATCTCCCGAGGGAGGTGTCCTCCTGAAAGACCCCTTTACCATGAGGCAACAGTAAGAGCAGTAGTAGTATTTTGGGACAGTTAGTTTTCTGTGACTATAATGATATACTTGAGGTAGCCAGCCTCCAGAGCAAGGGTTTGTTCTGGCCTACTGTGTTAGAGGTTCCACCCAGGGTTGGTGGCCTTACTGCTTTAGGTCTGTGGCACATCATGATGGAAGTGCATGGTAGAGAGAATCCACCCACTTCCCAGTCAGGACACAAAACAGAAAGAGGAAGGGGCCAGGTCTCAAAACCTTCTTCAAAGGCACATATTCAGTGATCTATGACCCTTCCCAGGAGTCCTGCGTCTCAGAGCTTTTCCACCTCCCAGCAGTGCCGTTCTGTTAGCTAAGCCTTGGACAGTAGCCTTGGAGGGACAGTGACCTGCATATGATGATGAATACCATAACAAAACCTAACCTGAAGACTCCTTTGTGAGGACACTAATGTTAGCTAAGCCTTGGACAGTAGCCTTGGAGGGACAGTGACCTGCATATGATGACGAATACCATAGCAAGACATAACCTGAAGACTCCTTTGTGAGGACACTAATGTTAGCTAAGCTGAACTTACTCTAGAGTTTGGAGTAAATGAAAACTAGGACCTTCCATGTCAGAAATGTAAGACACGTTTTTTAAAAAAGACTTAGAAAAAAATGAAAATGAAGTTTGTTCATTGCTGAAAAGAACAAATTAAATGAAAGGAAGCTGTTTGTTTTCCAGATCAGTTCTAATTTTCATTGCTACGTTTTTTGTTAGCAGAATGCCAGCTGAAGCAGAAAATCCTGAAGTGAAAGAAATTGATGATGAGATTACTCCCGTCACTCCTAAGACTGAGGGAGAATTTGTAGATATTGACGAGAATCATTCAGAAATAGAAACATTTACACAGGATGAAATGGATATGCACATCTCTGACTGTGAAGGTCAGTTCATGTAGACCATAATTGGCGTTACTAATTTATAAAATTGATAATATCGAAAATAACTCTTTTGTTCTTAAATATGTTTGCCATTGCCTAGAACAAAAAAAAATGTTTTTTTTTTTTTTTTGTTTATTTTTTGAGACAAGGTTTTTCTGTGCAGCCCTGGCTGTTCTGGAACTGGCTCTGTAGACTAGGCTGGCCTTGAACTCACAGAGTTTGCCTGCTTCCACCTCCCTAATGCTGAGATTAAAGGCATGTACCACCTCGCCTGGCTAGAACTAAAATTTAAGTGGTATTTTTTGAAACACTGAGCATATTAACTTGTACCTTGGTTTTCAGAATGTGCAAGACACTTTTATGTTAGTAGCTTTCTGAGCCTCTCCCAGCTGTGAGCCTCTCCCCAGCTGTGAGCCTCACCCAGCTGTGAGCCTCTGCACAGCTGTGAGCCTCTCCCCAGCTGTGAACCTCTCCCAGCTGTGAACCTCTCCCCAGCTGTGAACCTCTCCCCAGCTGTGAGCCTCTCTCCCCAGCTGTGAACCTCTGCACAGCTGTGAGCCTCTCTTGGAAAGAACCAGGGGGGGGGGGCGCGGGGCTTGAACTTACACAAACTGATACAAGTTCTCTCAGGGCTCTCCTGGGATTTATTGATTAAGAGGAAGTAGTCGTTAGGTGTTTTTTGAAATGTATTTGTATGGGGTTGGAAAATATTTCTGAAAAAGTGAAAAGATAATCTTTAAAGGTTGGCATTCCCTTCCATTTCTGATCCTTCTAGAAGGACCCGTTGGGAGTCTCCGGGACCCCAGTGCTGCCGTCTGCATGCCAGCGTCGCGGCTCTCACTGCAGGTGAGCCAGTGAACAGTGCACACGATCATGCGGTTTGTGCTGAAATTGCACTAAGTGTGCTTCCCCCACTCGGCTGTCTGCCACGTGCTGACTTGTAGGCTAGGTCTGAATTTTCTTTCTGAGATTGTATTACATCTCCAGCGCTTTCAGACACGGAAATTTCCATGTCCTGAAGTACTTCAGCAAGTTAGTCAAGAGTGGTGAACGTGACCTTGGCTATGAAGTATGATTCGGTGTAATTTGCAGTTTCTATGTATTGTTTATTTTCTCAAAACCAGATTTCCATGTGGAACATAGGTCTTTCCTGTTATTTTAACATTTGTTTCAAAAAGCATTAGTTTCCCCTCATTTTGTAGTGGTTTTCCCAGGTTAATTGACATGTAATTTATAAAACCTTAGTCTCTAGGCAACACCTCATCTTCTACTTTAACAGACTCAGTTGCTCATATTGATGGGCTGAAAGCAATTCCTGTGTATAAGGACCTGGTCAGGGCAGAACTGAACCTTTCAAGGTTTATTTTGTCACTTGAGTTTTAGACAGATATTTAATGTGAGATTGAAAATACCTAACAGTCATGCCTATCTTTGTGTCTCACCTCTTTTCATTGTGGGTATGGACACTATTGATTTTATAGCATTCCACAGAAGAGGCTCAATGTCCCAGGAAAGAACCATTGGAGACAAATGTGGATACACAATTGACAGAACAGAAAGGGTAAGGAAAAGAAAGTGTGATATGTGTCTTAGTCATTGTCCTATTGCTATGAAGAGATGGCAAGACCAAGGTAACTCTTATTAAAAACAAAAACATTTATTTGTTTGTTTATTTATTTATTGTTTTTGTTTTTTTTTGAGACAGGGTTTCTCTGTGTAGTTTTGGTGCCTGTCCTGGATCTCGCTCTGTAGACCAGGCTGGCCTCGAACTCACAGAGATCCTCCTGGCTCTGCCTCCCAAGTGCTGGGATTAAAGATGTGCGCCACCACCGCCCGGCTATAAACAAAAACATTTAATTGGATGTTTGCTTACAGTTTCAGAGTGCATTATGGTCATGGCACTGGAGCAGTAGCTTTAGAGTTTTACATCCTGCTCCATAGGCCGAGAGAGAGGCACTGGGCCTGGTGTGGGCTTCTGAACCCTCAAAGCGGGTCCCCAGTGACACACCTCCTCCAACAAGGCCACACCTCCTTACAATCCACTAACTGGAGACAAAGCATTCAGACATAGGAGCCTGTGGGGACCATTCTCATTCAAACCACAACATGATTATTGCCTTTTTAAAAAAATCTTAGTGAAGGTTTCAGATGTTTTTCATAATTTATAATAAATATTTTATGTTGGTATTTTAATTTATAATGGCAGTGAGTTGTTTTTGGTAAATGTTACATTTCTCATAGAAGTAATCATTTCTTTTTTTACCTTTGTCCTCTTATCAATGTCAGCCTTACCAAAATAAATTGTACCTATAAATAGGTCAGAGTTTGTTCATCTACTAGTTAGGGAACTGTCCACATTGATTACATTTTTATTGAATTAAATACAAAAGCATTGTGCATCGTAACACATACGACCTTCACTGTTGTGTTTTAGTCACTGTATTCTGTCCATTAGGGCTCTGATGTGCATACTTTGCTGTTTGAAGCGTTATTCTAATTAATTTTATCAATAAAAAAATCAGGAGTCAAATATTGGGGTAAGAACCTGAAAAATCAGCAAACCAGGAGCTGCCGCCAGTTGTTTCCTGCCTTTTCCGTTCTTCCGTCCAAAAGGACTTCGATCCTCTTTCGGCCCTGCCTTACCACTTCCTGTCTCCTCTTTCTACAGTCCTCCAAACCTCTATGGTCAGCTAGTGGCTGGCTCCGCCCTCGGACTCCCAGCAAGCTTTATTTGTCAGAACACAGACAGTACCACACAGCAGCTGCTGACACATTACTGTTTCCCAGGGAGATGACAGCAATAGCAATTTCATAAGGGGCAGCTTGAACGTGACTTACAGAGTTTTAGAATTTTTGAAAATTTAGGGGCTTGAGAGATAGTTCAGCCAGTAAACTGCTTGTCGTATAAGCACAGGGCCTAAATTTCATCTCTAGTGCCCCTGTGAAAGCAGGGTGCGGTGGTAATAAATAGGCAGATAAATAGATAAACAGGCAGATTCCTAGGACTACTGGCCAAGTGGCCTAACCTAACTGCTGAGATCTGTCCCTAAAAACAGAAGGGACACCTCCTGAGGAATGACACCCAGGTTGACTTGGCCTCCATACATACCCATGCTCACACATGCCATGCTGTACAAACTACACACGCACAAAGAAATTTAGGATTGCCTTAATGTCTCTGTCTATCTGTGTGTCTCTCTGTGTCTCGGTTTCTCTGTCAGCTTGACACAAGCCCTAGTTAGCTGGGAAGAGCAACCTCAGTTGAGAAAACTCCTCTCAGATTGCTCGTGGGGAGGTGTGTAGGGCGTTTTATTGACAATGTTTGAGTGGGAGGGCCTAGAGTACTGGGCGGGGCACACCAGCCCTAAGCAGTGGCCCTGACTGTACAAGCAAGCAAACTGGGCGAGCCGGGCGGAGCAGGCCAGTGAGCAGTTGGACTCGTGGTCTCTGCTCCAGCTCCTGCCTCCGGGCTCCTGCCCTGGCTTTCTTCTATGGTGAACTGAAACCCTGTGAGGTGAGACAAACCTTTTCCTTGCCGAGTTGGTTTGGTCAATTTTTATTACAGCAGGAGAAACCTAACTAAGACACTTGATAGGAGAGGTAACATTAGACTCCTTTTTTTCCCTCAGATCACAGATTTTATTTCTATTTTGAATAGTTAATACAGATTTTTCTGCTTTTGAGATAGGGCCTCGCTATGTAGACCTGGCTGTCCTAGAACTTGGTCGTATAGTCCATGCTGGTCTCAAATTCATCTTCTTCCTGCTTCTGCCTCTCAAGTGCCGGGAGTAAAGGCGTGTGCTGCACACTCAGCTGAAACATTTTCCTCTTGGGGTGCTGTAGGTTGTTTCTAGGGCCTCTCACATGCTGGACAAACACTTTACAAATGAGCTGTATCTCCTGTCCACTCAAGAATAAATTTAATGCCCTGTTATGCCATTATAAGAATTAGAGATATTTGTTTTCTTACACATTAATCTTTACAGTTTCAAGTATATCAGTAGATTCTTTGTACCACTTACTCTGTCGGACTGTGGTCATAGCTAACCTCATGATCCCTGGGTTTAGATTGTATTTTCATTGCTGAGCAATCAGTGCTACTCAAGTTGTGTATGAACTCATGCAGTCTTTGCTGTTGTTTGAATTTGTGACTAATTGCTATGGAGACTGATGTAAACAGATTGTGATTATGAGCTAAGCATGGCAGCGCTATTAGAGGATTGGATTCTTTGGTGGTGGAACAGTAGTTCACATGCACCTTAGAAACGTGAAGAGTATCTTGCTCCTAATCACTTATTTTTATTTGTAGTATGATCGAAGCCTTGTCAAATTCTGAACATACCATTCCTCATTCACTTCATATAGATGCAAATTCAGAAACTTCTTGGTAAGAATTTTTATTTACCATTTTGAAATCATGTTTTAAAAATAAGAGAATGAATTGGTACCTCCTGTGCCAGTCTGAAATAATTGCTAAGTGTTTGTGCCATAAACCAAGGAAATAAGCAAAGAGTGGCATAGGCACAGTTTTGACATCTCAGTTATTTACAGATTTTCCTACCATCTGTGTTTTAAAGACATTCGGAACCTTGTTGAGACAGTCATTTCAGGGACCAAAGAATCAGCAGTAGATATATTATTGAAATACTGTTGTTCCTGTTCATCTTCTGACCCGTACAGCATAAGAAATGCGTTTAGCTCATTTTAGTATCCTTCCTTTCCCTTTGCACCAGTGGGTGTGTAACCCAGAGCCTCCAGCAGGCTACATCAGCCGTCTACCACGGAGCTATGTCCTGAGCCCAGTACTGTCCTGGCCCAACCCAGATGAGCTCCTGAGATCAGATCAGAGATCTGGCTGCGGTTGGTGGCTGAAGAGTTAATTCTCTTTAGGTTTATCCAGTTTGTCTTTTTAATTCTTCTGCAAAGATTAAACTGAATGCTTAGAAATTTTTCTGAATTAGAAGGAAAATTCAGTATAATTTTGTTAAGGAAAAAAATTCACATAATTAGAATTGATCTCCTTGCTAGTTGTTGAAAGTAAATTCCAGTGAAGTTGTGTTAAGATCGTCACATCAGTTGTGATGTCTGTTTTCATAGATTTACCATATCAATGCAGTTTTGTTTTTAAGCATGCTCATTGCACAACAGGGAAAATACTAGGGCTGAAAGGGAACGAATATCAGTTCAAATCTACATGCAGTTTTGTATGTTTCTTTCTGTTTGGAAACAGTGACTAATTTATTTGAATATTATACTTACGTATTCCCTTATTTTTTTTTTAAAGATTTATTTATTTATTATGTATACACATATGTCTGCAGGCCAGAAGAGGGCGCCTGATCTCATTACAGATGGTTGTGAGCCACCATGTGGTTGACTGGGAATTGAACTCAGGATCTCTGGAAGAGCAGCCAGTGCTCTTAACCTCTGAGCCACCTCTCCAGCCCCGTATTCCCTTATTTAGCTTAGAAAATTTATTTGCTTAGAAGATGCTGGGAAGGCTGGGTGTGGTGGCGCAAGCTTTTAATCCTAGCACTTGGGATGCAGAGGCAGGCAAGGCTCTGGCAATTCGAGACCAGGATAGTCTACTTAGTGAGTTCTAGGTCAGCCAGGGCTACATAGAGAGGCCTTACTGAAAGAAAGGAGAGAGATGAGGGGGAGAAAAGGAGAGAGAGGGGGAGAGAAGAGGAAAACAGAGCGAAAGAGAATAAAATAAAACACTAGAGACTTAGGGTTAAGGAATCATTTCTCAATAATTGTTTTCTCCAAAAAGACCAAAGACAGCCGGGCGGTGGTGGCGCACACCTTTAATCCCAGCACCTGGGAAGCAGAGGCAGGCAGATCTCTGTGAGTTCGAGGCCAGCCTGGGCTACCAAGCAAGTTCCAGGAAAAGGCGCAAAGCTACACAGAGAAACCCTGTCTCGAAAAAGAAAAAGAAGAAAAAAAAAAAAAGACCAAAAAACTTGCTTTGGTCTTTAATTTTTAGTTTTAATTAAGTATTTTGTTATAGTTTATTATAAATTGAAACTCTGGTTTGTTTGGAAATGAAATGTTGACACTTCTGTGGTTTCATGCTTAATAATGATCATTAGTCATTTGTGCTGATAATCTTAGAATTAGATGTTTTTATCTTTTTTTCTTAACTCTATTTTCAGTCATTAATTTTAGTCAGTATTTTATTCCTAAGTCTGTATGGTTAGTAAGGATAATTGTGCAGGCCTCTGGCTCAGATGCCTTCAGCAGCCAGAGTGGGCTGTTCTGGGATGTAACATCACTGCTGGGAAGGGCACATGCAGGCATTCAGATGATGGGTGGAGAGCCCAGAATGACCGAATAACCTTCGCATCCAAAGAAAAATGGTGTCTGAATATTTAGATCATAGGTATCTAATTGTTTGGGGATTTTTGTTGTTGGTTAATGTGTGTTTTTGATTGGAATGTTTTCCCACAGTGCACAGATTTCTGAACTGAAAGAGCAGTCTTCCTCAGTTCCACCGCTCATGTCAAGTGGAGACCCTGTTACTTCACAAACACCTGTTGCAACACCTCAGCATACTCAGAGAAAGGAACACAGGGTTCAGCTACCGGATTCTTCTGATTCTGTTAGGCAGATGCTCCAAGACGAGATGTTCAAATTAGTTCAGGTGAGCACATGGCTACGTAAGTAAATCTACACATGATGCATAGTTTAAAAGTAGACAGCTAATAGGGATGGACTAGTCAGCGTGGAATTCCACTCATTTTTGTGCTCTTATGAATCATCATACGTCCTTCAAAAGTTCCTGCCCTGGACCTATCGTCTAGATACATCTACGTACAGTTCAGTGACTTATTTTTCCGGGCATTTTGGGTGAGGTGTTGGGTAGATCCAGTCAGATCTGCAAAAAGCCCCAAATGTGTTTTCTGTTGTTGTTGTTGTTGTTTGTTTGTTTGTTTGTTTGGTTAGTTTTGGCTTTGGTTTTTTCAGACAGGGTTTCTCTGTCTGAAAAACAGTCCTGACTGTCTTGCAACTCGCTCTGTAGCCCAGGCTGGCCTCGAATTCACAGAGATCCACCTGCCTCTGCCTCCTGAGTGCTGGGATTAAAGGTGTGTACCACCACCGCCTGGCCCTGTATTTTCTATATGAGCGTTCAGACCAAATTCCGTCTTGGGCTGAACGTGTCTGTGGCATGTCACATGACTGTGCACCTTGATTTCCACTGTCCCTTCCCACCTGTGCACATTGTGTTCTTTCAAACAACAGTTTAAATTATTTGTCTTTTTTTTTTTTTTTTAATTTTGGTTTTTCAAGACAGGGTTTCTGTGTAGCTTTGCGTTGTTTTTGTTTTGTTTTGTTTTGTTTTTTGTTTTTTGTTTTTGGTTTTTAAAGGCATATTATTTTATTTTTAATTATGTGTAAGTGAGTGCATGTGAGTTGCCTGTGGAGGCCAGAGGTGATCGCCAGATCCCTTAGAGCTGGGGTCATAGGTCAGCTGTGAGTTGCCTGCATGGGTGCTGGGAGCCATCTCAGGTCCTCTGCAAGAGCAGCGGACGCTCTTAACCACTGAGCCATCTCTCCAGCCCCTCTTTCTTCCTCTTAAAACTTTAATTTCCCTCATACCTAATCCTTTAGGCTTGTGTATGTTCACTTAGGTGTCTTTACATCTTATATGCCATTTTATGCTAGTGATTCTTGGCCCTAATTTCTCGCTGAGCCTTGGAGTTTTGGTGGAATATTCTTTCAGCATGTCCACAGTCCCGTGAACCCGACTTTGTCCTTATTCTCCCCAGCTCCTTCCCACCCCCCTGTTTAGGAATGCTACCTGCTCTAGCAGCTTGTCTATGAAAGGTCCTCTCAGACTGTCCTGTGAGTGGCTGGGTTCTGCCTGCTCAGGCTCTCTATTTAACAAGTCCTCCGTGTTTTAATGGCTGGATTCCCCGCTCAGTCTCATCATGTCCTTTTGCTGCCATCTCCCTGCCCCAGTTTTTCTGTTGTTGTTGTTCTTGTTTAGACAAGATCTTCGCTGCGTTCACTGTATCCTCCTGATTCTTTGTCCCCACATATTGTACGTGACTGTTGTAGGCGGAGTTTTTTGTCAAGACCGCTGGCTCCCCAATAACCAAACAGACTTAATACTAATTATAAATGCTCAGTTGATAGCTTAGTCTTTTTACTGACTAGCTCTTACAATTAAGTTAACTCATATTTCTTATCTATGCTCCACCACTTGCCGGTACCTTTTTTCAGCACGGCATGTTCATATTGCTTCTCTCCGCATCTCCTGGTGACTTCACCCTCCTCTGCCTCCTCTTCCACCTCATGCTCTCTTTTTGTCTGCAAATCTTGCCTAACCTTTTCCTGCCTAGCTATTGGCCAGTCAGCTCTTTATTAACCAATGAGAGTAACACATATTCACAGTGTACAGAGATGGTTCCACAGCAGACTGTAGTCGCACTATTTCTGTGTCTCTAGCCAACCTTAGATCCTTAGGATTTCATTCTTCCATTGTCTTATATGTGTGTGTATGAGTTTTGTAGGACATTCTTCTGATATAATTCTGGTTTCACTTTAAAATCTTCACTAAATTTCACTTACAAATGTTGTATGCTGTCAGTCTTGTTTTTAAAGCAGAAAGAAAGTGGCCTGCAGAGATGGTTCAGTGGGTAAAGTCCTTCTGCAGGAGCATGAGGACTCAAGCTTAGATCTCTAGCACACGTGTGGAAGTCAGGCCAGGTGTGGCAGCACACATCTGTAACCCCAGTGCTCAGGGATGCACAGACTGGCAGACTCCAGGGGCTCATTGACCACTTGGTCTGCCTGAAACTGCAAGCTCCAGGTTCAGTGAAAGAACCTGTCTCAAAACAGATGGAGAGAGCCAGGCGGTGGTGATGCACACCTTTGATCCCAGCACTTGGGAGGCAGAGCCAGGTGGATCTCTGTGAGTTCGAGGCCAGCTTGGTCTACAGAGTGAGATCCAGGACAGCCAGGGCTACACAGAGAAACCCTATCTTGAAAGACCAAAAAAAAAAGGGTGGCAAGAGATCAAGGGAGATATGGGATGTTAACCTTTGGCCTTCACGCATGCACACAGGAACTGGTCTACCTGCATTTACACAACACATTCATGGACATGGATGGATGGAAAAATAGATAGATAGCTCACTTAATATGGAGACAGATTGAAAAGACATACACAATAAAGTTAATGCTGTTATCTTTGGAGGCCAGAGTATAAATGCTATTTTCTATTAGTTTTTAAGTTACCATCCCAAGTAATGTATTTCATCAGATATTTTCTTTTTAAAACTTACTTATTCTTCTTGTAATGTGTTCTTCTTTCTTTTTAAAACTTTATATTTGTTTGTGTTCATGTGTGTGCACATCACTGCATGCATGTGGAGTTCAGAAGACAACTTGCAGGGGTTGTGGGTCCCTTTGGTGTTTTGAAGGAAAATGGCCCCCATATGGGAGTGGCACTATTAGGAGGTGCGGCCTTGTTGGAGGAAGTGTGTCACCGTGGCAGCGAGCTTTGAGGTTTCTTTTGCTCAAGCCACACCCAGTGTCTCAGACCACTTCCTGTTACCTGAAAGTCAAGATGTAGGACTCTCCGCTCCTTCTCCAGCACCCTGTCTGCCTGCACGATCCCCACCACGTTGCACCATGATGATAATGGACTAAACCTCGGAACTGTAAGCTGGCCCCAATTAAATGTTTTTCCTTTATAAGAGTTGGTCATGGTGTCTCTTCACAGGGAAAGACTATACTCTTGCAAGTCCAGTGTTTTTCAGAGTTGATTACTGGATTCATAACACAAACACCACTTAGATCTTAGGAATAAAATTTCTAGGGGTGGAAGAAATGACTCAGTAGCTAAGACCACTTGCTGCTCTTTCGAAAGACCCAGGTTTGATTTCCAAAACCATGTGTTAGTTCAGAAACATCCCCGACTCCAGTTCCAGGGGATATGATGCCCTCTTCTGCCCTCTGAGGATACCAGTCACACATGATGCTCAGACATACATACAGGCAAAACACCCATACACATAGAAATAAAAATGAAAGAAATCCTAAAAGAAAGAAAGAGCCTTCCACCCAGCAACCGTGGAGAATGAGCTGAGCAAAGAGTGGTTTGATTGCCAGGTCCTCAAAGGCATATGTGCTTCAGGTTGACAGTTGTAGCCTGCCTCTCAGCAAACCTGGTGTCTGCCTTTTGTCCCGCTGAGCTGATGTGAGTGCTGGTTCTTGTCAAGCTTTTCTGCACGTAGACAACTTAACACATTTCAGTGCATACTGATCCTAGCTCTGATCTTCAGACTTCTGGTACTGGTATGAGATGTGACGTGGTCTTTGGGAATCCTTAATGCCACTGAATGATTGCTGTCTTCAGCAAATTTGGAACCCCTGGTGCCTGTCTTGACCTTCCATCTAGTCTGTCAGTCTTCTCCTGTGTTGCTTTGCTCTTTCCTTTTTTGAAAACTAGTTCAAAGCATACTTATTCTGAAGTATCATCTCACTCCAGTAGGTTATCCCTGGATATCTTATGTAAGTTAGTTGTGCAAATAGTCCCCTCTCTCTCTTTCCTGAGTTAGAATTCATGCCTCAAGATGACAGGTTTTCCACTCAATGTTTGAGAATGTGGCTCTTGCTGATACCTTAACTTCTTTCCATTGGTTTTTTGTTTTGTTCTTGATTTGGTTTGGTTTTAGGTTTTGGTTTCTCAAGACAGGGCTTCTCTGTGTAGCCTGACTGTCGTGGAACTCACTACTCACTGTGCAGACCAGACTGGCCTGGAACTCAGAATTCTGCCTGCCTCTGCCTCCCAAGTGCTGGGATTAAAGGTGTGCCACAATCGCCTGGCCTTTTCATTGTTTTTAAAGTATTGTTTTGTTTTATTCCAGCTGCAACAGATCAATTTCCTGAGCCTAATGCAAATAGTAGGACCGTCTGTCGCTAATCTCCCAGACATGCATCAACTTCTTCAGCAGGTTCAGCCTGTGCATGTTGGGGAAAGCCAAGCATCAAAGCCCACAAAGAGTGGTTGTACTGAAGCCAAGAGCAGACAGAGATTATGTGCTAAAGCAGAGTCCGGGAGAGAGTGCACCAGGGATCCTAGCATGAACAGCCCACCAGATCATGAAGGAATCAGCCAGCCTGGTCAAGAGAGTCATGGAAACACACAGGTAATTCATACAGAGATATCATTAGAACTGAGAAAACAGCCAAGTTGGCAAAATGCTTGAAGGCTTGAGTACATTCCCCAGAAGCAGTGTTAAAAAAAGTCAGGCATGGTAGTGCACACTTAGAATCCCAGCGCTGTGGAGGTAGTGACAGATCCCCGGGATCACCAGCAGGCTAGCCTGACCTGTTTGGTGAGTTCTCGGCCTATGAGAGACCCTGTTTTAGAACAATAAAAAACAAACCAAACAGTGCATGGCACCTGAAGAGTGACAACAAGGTGGTCCTGTGGTCTCTACCTGCACGTGGACTCTCAAGCATTCTCTTTTGGTTTTCTTCTGTTCCTGTCATAAAGTACCTGACAGAAAGCAACTTGGAGGGGAAGGGGTTTATTTCACCTTGCAGTTCCAGGCTGTGGTTTATTATTCAGTTCCAAGGGAAGGAACTTGAGGTATCTAGTCGTATCACATCCACAGTCAAGAGCAGAGAGAAATGAGTACACACCTGACTTGCTTACTTATGCTCAGCTCCATTTCTCCCCTTTACACAGCTGGGGACCCCGTGCCTAGGGAATGGTGCCACACACTGGGCGGGGCCTTCCCATGTTGTTAACGTAGACAGTGTCCCTGAAACTGTTTCCCCTCATGATTCTAGTTTGTGTCAAGTTAACAATTAAAGCTAGCCAGGTGGGGTGGTGCATGCCTTTAATCCCATCACTCAGGAGGCAGAGGCAGGTGGATCTCAGTGAGTTCGAGGCCACCCTGATCTACACAGTGAGTCCCAGGACAACTAGGGTTACACAGAGAAACCCTGTCTTGAAAAACGAAAAACAAAATCAAAAAACAGTTATAGCTAATCTCACACACACACACACACACACACACACACACACACACACACACACACACACACACACACAGTAGGTGGCATTTTTGTTCTCGGTTAATCATTGGCCTTTTGTTATTTGAATAAATGTATTTTTTTTTTTTACAATTTTTCTAACATGCTGTCTGTTCACATCATACTGAATATCATTTACAAAAAATTAGTAATATATTCTGAATTTATATATTATTATTTTTCTTTCAGGATATTCCACACGGGAGTATTCCTTTGTGTCAATTAGATGGCCAGCCTAAGCTGAGAGGACAGAGTGGAGCACCTCAGAGCTTTGGACCCGCTTCCTTTTCTCACGCTCCTGCTGGAGACACTGGCCTCCAGCTTCTGTTCACACCTGCTGCTCTGCAGAAGGCCCCTCAGCTGATTCCACCTGCCAGAACAGTCACTCCTGGGAGCGGGTTTCCTTTGCTTCATTTTCAGCCCAAGCATGAATTCAAGCCCCTTTCCTTACCGCTAGGAAGAATTCCAGAAGTTCCTTTCAGACCTCAGGCCCAACCAAAAAAGGCCTGGGAATTATCTGACTCTTGCCAGCCCCCTCTGTCTCAGGGACTAGTGCACACCACTTCCCCATGCCATTCAAATCCAAGCCTCTATAGCGCTGTACTCAGAGACACCCCTAAGCATGGGAGCTTGGAGCAGTATGTTGGACAACAATACTTGACACCTCAGCAGGACTCTTCAGTATTTATAAAGCCAGAAAGTGTGTTTGATGTTAAACCAGTGCCCCCTGGGACAGTTCCTCAGAATTCTTTTGGACTTCCTTTATTACACCTGCAATTTCAGCCTCCTTGTATATTCTCATCACCATCAAGAGCATCAAGTAGATTGCCCTTAGTACCTACCACATCTGACACAGAAGGAAAACAGTATCCACAGCTATCATTACTTCATTCATGTTTGCCCCTGGAGAACACGGTAATGACTTGTTGTATGGTGAATGAAAAGCTGTTGCGCTTTCCCATGCTGTAAACACTGTGTGTTCTATGAGAGTTCAAGAACATGTTTTAACATGTGTTTATTTTGGATATGGGTATGTGTCTTAGTTAGGGCTACTGTTGCTGGGATGAAACACCATGACCAAAAGCAATGCAGGGAGAAAAGGGTTCATTTGGCTTACACTTCCACATCACTAAAAATTCACCATTGAAATAAGTCAGGACAGGAACTCAAACAAGGCAGGAACCTGGAGGCAGGAGCTGATGCAGAGGCCATGGAAGAGTGCTGCTTACTGGCTTGCTCCTCATGGCTTGCTCAACCAGCTTTCTTATAGAACTGAGGACCACCTACCAAAGAATGGCACCACCCACAATGGCTGGACCCTCTCCCATCAATCACTAATTAGGAAAATGCCCTAAAGGCTTGCCTACAGCCCAGTCTTATGGAGGCATTTTCTCAATTGAGGTTCTCTCCTCTCGGATGATTTTATATTGGGCCAGGGTGACATAAAACTGTCCAGCACAGTGTGCATACATGTGCATGCCATGAGCACATGGTTGAATGTCAGAGGGACAGCTGGTGGAGGCCAGTTCTCTCTTACCTGTGGGTTCTGGGGTCATCGTCAAGTCATTGGCTTGGCAGCAAGCACTTGACTTGCTGAACTGTTTGTCAGCCTGTTTCTTAAGGTAAATCTTCTGTTACGGACAATAGCGTAAAATAATTTTACATTTTAAATATTCAAGGTATTTTGTGTAAATACTAGAATTTACACTCTTTCATACATTTTTTTTCATACATAAGGTATAAGTAAAATAAATCTACCAGCGTGTGTGTGTGTGTGTGTGTGTGTGTGTGTGTGTGTGTATGTGTGTGTAGCAAGTGCACATAGTGTATTTGAAGTTTCTAGCAATTGTGATATGGTCATTTTCAGATCTGTTTCAGATAAAATTTTTAAGCACATGCCAGTTGGTCAGTAGCTTCCCATGTAGTGAGATGGTAGCCTTAAAATACACCAAATCCTCTTCAAAGATGCTGTCTTAGATTTATGAAATTCAGACTGTTTAGCCTCTAACGTGTAAGTTTGTAGTAATCGAGTGACTTGTTCTCTGGTGTGCTTTGTTACTCACAGGTGCTACTTTGGAGAGAAATGGTTGTTCATTAGAAGTATTAACCATGCCTCCTTTTTGGAACATACTATAGACAGAAGAGGGGGTTAAGGGTGTGGAAATTTTAGCATTTTGAGAATAATTTTTAAAGCTTTTTTTATTAGAATAATATTCTGAGCCCCAGGTTCTTCTGACCCTGTTTGGGATTATCAACATATGCTGACATGCTCACTCATCTGTAGTCTTTAAGCCACTACACCTGCTGCCTCTTGTATTCATATTCAGTTAAATGCCATGTATGTATTTCCCTCACAGGGAAGAGGATTTTTTATGGAATGCAATTTAGAAGATGGGGACTTTACTTCGGAATCCGGACAACTCAGCTGAGGGCACAGGGTGCGGCTGAGTGGTCAAGTACTGAGTTCGCATGCTCAGGGCCCAAGTCAGTCTCCAGGGGAGAAAGTGAAAAACCTATATGAAACGTTAATGGCCCTCCCTGATTGTCGAAAATATGGATAGCCATTCTTCCTGTCCTGTCCAAGTCAATTTGTTGAGTTTGATGTGTTCTGTCTCTTATATGTCTTAGTTTAATTTAAACAAATTTTTGTTTGTTTTTTCAACATAATTATGCATTTGACTTGTTACGCGTTCTCTCTGTAGTACAAGAAGCCCCAACTTATCCCACTTGAAAACCTCATGGCATTTAAAAGAAGCCAACAAAAACTAGCACATAATGCATTTGCACAAGGTGATTCTGGTCATGTTCAGCTTCTAAAGGTCAACATGGAACCATCTAACATAACACCAGGGAAGAAGAGGCAAGTTCTGAATGAAATGTTATCTGATAATGTTGTATACCAAGGTCGTAAAGGTGTTTCGCTTCAGTTCCTTCACAGCAACGTAGTTAGTAGTTTCCTTGTCTGCTACCATGTATTTAAGCCAATCTCATAGTGATGAAAGATGTCTCCTGTTGTGAGAAATGTTACCTTTTTTCTCCCTCTCCATTTCTCTTAAAGTTTTCTCTCTTACCTTTCATGGGCTGGAGCATTTTTCTCCATGTTCCTGTGACAGAATAAACAGTTATGTTCTGTAGCACTAATCTTTGGGATCAGGTAAAATTCCATGAGCAGTTCAACATTTTGAACCAGTACTTATTTTTACCTGCTTTACCATATATCCTTCAGACCATTACAAGGCAGCAAGAGAAGTAGGCGATGGTGTGAAGTGTCTCAGGGCACTAAGAAATGTGCATGTAGAAGTGAGGCTGCCCAAGACTAACTGAAAAGCCTTTGACTGTTGATTCGTATGCTGTGTGTATAGAACACGTGTTTGAATTTGCCATCGCTGCCCTTCCCGATGATGAGCTCTCCTTGCTGGGTGTTTAGTTAGCCTCCTCAAGGAGCTTCGTGGAGGTTCCATAGGATTTCTGGTACAAGCTTCTAATATGCAACACAGAGTTTGAAAACTGCTTAAAAGGTATAATCTATTCCCACATTCTAGTGACCAAATCAGAATTCAGTGTCACCTGTAATTGTATTCTAGCAGAATATCTTGTTAGTTTAATTAAATCTAGTGAAAACAAGTGAAATCTAGTGAAAATCCATTTCAAGTAGCAAGTCTCAAATGAGAACCTAAAGGTACTATAAGGGAAACCCTGTTCTATCCTATTGTCTTCTGCAGGCAAAGCAGACGAGCTGAAAGAGAGCTACAAGAAGAAAGAGCCCAGAAGCCAAGAAGAAAGCCAAGTGTTAGTTTCCGACCAGAGGATTCCCTCATTAGTAATGGCTCAGAGGTCATCATGGAACCCAAGGTACAGAACAACTACAGTAGATTCTTCCCTAACTTGCATGGAACACTTCGGTATTTCTTGGTGGCTGTGTAGCCTGACTGCTGGAAGTTTCATGCTGTGGTTTGAGGGTCTGGCCATCATAATGCACAAGAGCTCTGCTGATTCCCTCCATAAACAGACACACTCAGTGTGGATGGGAAAAACAACTGGATGGCAAACTGAAAACTGCAGCTTAGAGCATCTGCCTGGTGACTGTTGTGTATGAAGTCACTCTGGGCTTTTCTGTGCCTTAATGCACATGATGTCATTTTCTGTCGGAGGCTGAGACATCTCCAGGGTTATCCAGGTAGATTTGCTATGTGACCTATATTATAAATCAAATCTCTTTAAGCATTCATTCTGAATTTGGAAAAAAACATTAAAGAGGTGTATAATTTCATTCATGTATGTTTTAAAAGCCTTGCTTTTTCATTTAGTACTCATAGGCCTTTCTAGAGGTACTAAATGTTTTTGAGTCCATTAAAGACTTTAGGAGGATCGGGGTACTGTTTGAGTGTCAAGTCTGCTCTGCTACAGAGACTTGTACATAGTAATTAGTACTTGGTATTAAACTGGTAATACTATTTTTTATTGCTTGACTTGTGGATTTCATGAACTCTTGTATAGTTGCTTTGACAGAGTAAACAGGCCTAAAATGATGGAAATTGAACCTGTAACTAAGAATTCAATCTTCATAGCTATTAGATGTATTTTTTTTAAAAAAAATAATAAATGCCTTTGAGTTATTAATAGGTTGATTGTTTGGCTCCATTTAGGAACAACTTGGACATTGTGATTCTCAGCCTTTGGAAAAATTTGAAATTCCTTTTGGTATGTATACACATGATTAATAGAATGTCTAAGTTTAATGTTAAGTCAGCTTTTTAGAAATAAATATAAGGCTGGGCGGTGGTGATGCACACCTTTAATCCCAGCACTCAAGAGACAGGGGCAGGTGAATCTCTGAGTTCAAGGCCAGACTGGACTATAAATCAAGATCCAAGACAGCTAGGGCTACACAGAGGGACTTTGTCTTGGGGTGGGTGAGGGAAGAAATAAATGTAATATAAAACTGAGACTAAATTAATGTCTTAGTCATTGTTCTCTTGCTGTGAAGAGACTCCTTGACCACAGGACTTTTTTTTGTTTTTTTTGAGGCGGGGCTATCCTGGAACTGGCTCTGTAGACAAGTCTGGCCTTGAAATGAGAAATTTGCCTGCCTCTGCCTTCTGAGTGCTGGGATTATAGGCATGCACCCCTAATGCCCTGGCAAAGCAACCCTTATAAGAGAAAGCATTTAATTGGGGGGCTTGCTTACAGTTTCACAGGGTCAGTCCATTATCATAGCAGGGAGCGTGGTGGCACACATGGCTCTGGAACAGTAGCTGAGAGCTTCATCCTGATCCAAGCAGAGAGAGAGAGACAGAGACAGACAGAGAGAGAGACGGAGAGAGACCGGCCATGACCTGGGCTCTTGAAACCTCAAAACCTACCCCAAGTGGCACACTTCCTCCAACAAGGCCATGCCTCCCAGTCCTTCTAATCCTTTCAAACCATTCCACTCCCTGATGACCAACCATTCAAATATATGAGCCTGCGGGGCCGTTCTTACCCAAACCACTACAGCCACTTTCCTGTTCTTTTGACAAGGGTGAGGAGGACCTTTGTACTTTGTTTCTTATCCAGTGGAGTAGTGGTTAACATGGGCCTGATGGAGACCATGCCTGCTCTTATGAACAGTTTTATTGTAACATAACCTCAAGGCTTTCAGACCACAACAAAGTAAAGGAGTTGCTACAAAGACTTACATACGCCTACATGGCACTGTACAGAGAAAGTTTGCCAAGCTCTGCAGTCGAGTGACGTAGTTAATCAGAATGTCAAATAGAATTTAAAAAAAGGCCTCAGTAAGGAAGTTATGGGTGACTATGCCTAGCATTGAATTTGTCATAGAAAATACATGTGTGTTAGAAACGCAAGCATCATTTCAGGACAGTGTCATTTGTATGATTCCATTTTTAATGACTATGTAGTGCACCAGTGGATGGGTATTGTGTTACACCAAACAACACTTCTGTGATTCCCTGTACACTTAATTAAATCATTCACTGAAATCAGTCTTCAGTGTCTTCACCTCCCCACGGGGGTGGGGGTGGGGTGGGGTATGGTAGGTGCTAACCCTTTAACAATGTAGTTGGCTCCTCCCGTGACCAGCCTTGACCCTGAAGCTGTTTAGGGATCTTCCATTAGCATCAACTCTGGTTGTTGTGAATAAAAAGCTCACTCTTATTTAAGAGCTTCTAAAGGTGTAGAAAACTGCCCGAAACTAAGAACAAAGACCAAATATGTGTTTATTATGCCCAATGGTTTTATGTCTGTTATTATACCTAATTTATTATGTGTAATTGTTGATCTCTTATTCCATCTGGTCTTCCTAGGCCATCTCCCTATAAAATCTCACTCTAACTCAGACTGCCATAATATATTTAGACTTTGATTCTGCTCCTGCAGAGCTTCTCTGCTTGGGGAAAGACCACTTGTAGCTCATGAAATCAGAACTCATTGTCTTTCCTCTCCAAACTGTTTTTTCCCTTCTATGTTATCTATCTCCATTTATATTAACATCAAACACCCCCCCCCAAAAAAAAAACCCGCAAATGCTGCCTTTTACTTTGCCTTTTTACCCAGTTTCTCGTCCTAGCCTTTCTTACCTCCTTTGTTAAACTGCTACAGAACCTTATCTGATGGTCTTCAGTTTTATTCATTCAGCGCTGCTTTCCACAGGTGGGGTGAGTTTTCTACAGGAGCGGTCTGGTCACATTGCTTCCACTGGACCTTCCATAGCTAGAGGAGAAGGCTCTAGGTTTCTGGGCCTGAAATACGGTGTCCTCTACAAGTGTGGGTGTGATTCACAGTGTCTTTAGGATGTAGTTCATACAGCACCTCATGTAGAAAATGCATTCTGATAACATCCCAACACACACCTTTAGTTACTGTACTTCCAATAACATGTTGGCTTCTCAGTGATTGCTCTCCATATTTTGTTATATTTCAGAAATGTTAGAAGATGATGTTAATACTTCAGCTGGACTGCATTTCCTGGCCTCTGTACGAAAGAAAACCGTGGGAAGTCAGGATGCAAGTACAAACACAGACCCAGGTAAATACTTGAAAAGTGAAAAAGTTTGAATTACAGCTGGAGACATAGCTCAGTGGTTAGAGCACTTGCTGTCTTCCAGAGGACCGAGTTCAGTTTCTAGCATCCATGTTGGGTAGTTCACAAGTGACTGTAATTCCAGCAGCAGGGGATCTGATGCAGTCTTCTGGCTTTTGTGGGTATCTGTACTTAGGCAGCATATATACTAACACATGCACATAATTAAAAAGTAACATCTTTTAAAACTTTGATAAGGCATTTCTTTTCTCTCTCTCTCTCTCTCTCTCTCTCTCTCTCTCTCTCTCTCTCTCTCTCGTTTTGTTTTTTGAGACAGGGTTTCTCTCTGTAGCTTTGGAGCCTGTCCTGGAACTCCTGTTGTGTAGACCAGGCTGGCCTCGAACTCATAGAGATCCACCTGTCTTTACCTCCTGAGTGTTGGGATTAAAGGTGTGACCACCAACACCCAGCCATACTTTTTCTTTCAGACAGTGCTTTAAAAGGAATTTTAAATTATGTAATATTTGTTACTTATCCCAAGTTATTCTCCTTAATTTCCTAGGAAAAATTACAAATAGCATTTATGATAACCTGAAATGGCATTTATGATAAACTGAATGTATAATTTAAGTAAAACATCACATAGAGATTTCCACTGCTAACGTGTTAAAGCTCTCAAGTGAGTGTAAGAATGTTGTGAGTTAGACTCCCTAGCCATGAGCTTCCTTCACTGGAAATGCAGCCCCAGAGTGAGAGGCTTGGGGTTCTGGCTAGTGAAGTTGGCGTGGGAAGAAGACTAGATTGTGGTTAGTCTGAGAGGGCAAGTGACTGTCCATGAGCAGAAGTGTACGGAATTTTCCCAGGATTCTCCTCTGATTTTGTCTTCTTATAAATGCTTAAGTACTCACTGATATAATATAGCAAGCAAGCAGTGACAAGTATGAAATTAGACATTCACAAAGCCAGGTGCAGAGCGTAGGAAAAGTGTCTTTTCAGACTATCTGAACTCCTGGTCCCTGGGTATTCCCATATTTCACTTCACCATGAGAATTTAACTGTCATGTCCCAATGTTGGTTATTTCCTGTTACCTTTAGACACTCTCATAATGTATCTTAACAGGCAATTTCTTTATACTGTATTGACATCACAGTATGTTTGCAACAGTGTTGAAGGTGATGCATGTGTGTATTCAGTATTATTGCATAGTTCATGCATACTAATAAATGCTGATTAAATGGTGTTTAAAATACTTGATATTATGTAATAATCCTTAATGTGTTGTTACTTGTTTAAGTCTGAGAAAATTGGATGGCATGGAACACCTTTTTTGTCATGTAAAATAATGTTGTAGTCGCCTTACATCTGAAAATTACCAATTAGCCTATTTTCAGGAAGGCATTGGTTTGTGTCCTTTTCATTTCCTTTGGTTTCTGCTTACATTAAACATTCCTTCTGTTGCCAAGAGTATTCTGTGAGCATGTTCCTTTGGCGGTTGTGCCATCAGATATTTAACCAGCTTCTGATTCTTGAACGCATTGATGTGTAGACAGTTTTTAGAGTTGTGTTCTTTCTTCTCTGTTCTTCTCTTTGGGTTGAGGGGAATTGAGCCCGGATCTCATTATGTGGCCCTGGACGGCCCATAACTGGCTATGTAGATCCAGATGGACTTGAACTCACAGAGATCCTCCTGCCTCTGCCTCCTGAGTGCTGGAATTAAATGCGTGCACCACCACTCCTGACCTTTCTTTGCTTTTTTAAGGATTAGGATCTTAGCTGGCATGGTAGTTCATGCTTTTAAACCCAGAGCTCAGGAGGTAGAGGCAGGGGATCTCTGAATTTGAGGCCAGCCTGATCACCATAATGAGTTCCAGGTCAGCTAGGGCTATATAGTAAGACCGTGTCTTAAATAAAGTAAAATCTACAGTCACATTTAAAAATTAAATTAAGCTGGCAATCTATTTTCCCACCATCTTTTACATACACTAATTATCTGTATTTGCATATTTAATTTCCTTTTGTTTGTGAAATGATTTTTCTATTTTTTCTTTTTCCCTCATATATCTGAATTTAGTCCAAGATAAGGAAGGTACTTCCCAAGAAGTTGATTCTGAAAGTGGTAAAAATCAACAAGTCATTTCTGCTACCTCAGGTGTGAATTCTTTGTTTTCTGAGATTAAGTTTGACTTATTAAAGTTATGTCAGCATAATGTGAAAGCCAGTCACTTTCTCCTTAGAAAACAGTTTAACCAAGCAAGTGGCTTCATAGAGATAGGATGACAATTTAAATGTTTTTGTTTTTTTCTCAGATTTTAAAGCTAACCTGTGATTTAAGTTCAAGCTTCATTAGCAGTTTTTCAGTAAAGTCAATATGACATGAATTATATTTTACATATGAATTTTAAAGTAGTATTTTATTAAAAACAAAATGCTAGAAAAATAGATTTGAGTCCTAGAAAAAAAGCAGAGTTTCACCGTCTGCTTACCTCTGTACTGGAAAGCCTTTTTATTTACTATTGAATAAGAGGCAAGAAACTGGTGAAATTTAGATGTCAAAACATCTTATTTATTTTTATCTTTAAGAAATGTTTATTCCTATTTTATGTGCATTGGTGTTTTTGTCTGCATGTATGTCTGTATGAGGCTGTCAGATCCCCTGGAAATGGAGTCACAGATGGTTGTGAACTGCCATGTGGGTGCTGGGAATTGAATCCTCTGGAAGAACAGCCAGTGCTAACTGCTGAGCCATCTCTCCAGCCCCCAACATTTTAAGCTGTAAAAGTTCGCAGTGAGCCCTGTGATTATCCTAAATCCATTATTAAGAGTATGAATTATATCTCAGTGAAACTTAATTAACTATTGAAAGTTTTTAAAATGTAGCTAATAGGTGTGTTTTTCTTAAGTAAAATAATTTAATATATTTAAAATAGAAATAGGAAATCATAATATTTTTTTTTACAAAATTTAGATACCTTATTTGTCCATGTATGTTATTCATAAGGGTAGTCCTTTGTCTTTGATTATGAATTTCCTTATAGAAAAATCGCCCTTAGATTAGAATTGGTTTAATTTTATTTAATATATTTATACCTAGGAAGCTTCTATTTAGATCTTTAAGAAATACACATTTTATATTATTTTGCTACAGATTTGCTGTTAGAAAATTAAGGACTACAGACATGTTTAACATTTCTGATTTTCTTAATTTCCAGGCCATGAACCTTTGAATGTTCCTCAGCTCTTGATTCCAGATATGTATCTAAATATCAAACTTCCCACTGGAATATCAGAGAAACCTTTGTCTCCTTCCCCACCTCATTTGGTAATAGCCTTGGTTTGTCCATTGAATTTTAATAATAACCTTGTGTCAAACTCATTGTGGTCATCCATATAGTACCCCCATTTTATAGGTGAAATCAGTATAAATGTACATGGCTTTGTAAGAAAGGACAAGAGTTACTTAAGTGTTCTGCCCAATAGTGCTGTAAACTAGAAAGCTCTGACATATCGCTGCTTTCTCCAGGTTAGGCTTGCAGATGCTTGCTTGTTGGTAATAAGGATGACAAATTAACACCGCCACCCCTTTTGTAGTCATCTAAAATTTAAAAAAATGGTTACTCTGTGTTTAACTCAGGCTAGACACACTTACATAGATGTGATTGACATTGAAGCTGATGACCTGTTGGAGTTGCCTGCTAATGAAGAACCTTCAGGTGATAATGTCATCAAGGCACAGAGCCATCCCCCAGAAGCCCCGTCGTCTGCAGAGTTGCACTGTATGGCAGCTTCAATTGTGAATGCTGTTCCCCCTCATACTTTTGAGGGTCAAGGTAATATTTTTTCCCACGTTAAAATAAATTAAACACACTAAGATGTATTTAGCACTGTTATCCTTACCCCAAATCTCCTAGATCTCGAGATACATGCTCGTGTTGACATTTAGAAATGTTCTATTAACCTCTCAGTTGCCTGGCTTGGACATTTACAATCAGTGTTTGTATATCTTTTATGTTCTTGACAGAATCTGCAAGTTCTACTCTGGGTTTAATTTCTGAGCCTGCAAAAATGACTCAATCCTGTCTGGATGAGAAAAGCTGTAGAGCAAGTGTTATGGAAGTGAAGGAGCCTGGGATCTCCTCAGTGATGCCATCAGACAGGCAACAGGACAGAGGTAAATAGCCAGGATGTCCTGCATGGTCTGCCCTCTCTAGATTCCTGTTATGTAAGAAAGAAGTATTGCTACTTGATCATTCCAAAAGCACTTGAAAGAGAAATGTTTAAGGTATATAAATGAAGTGCAGCCATGGCTCCCAGCCTGGGACCCACAGTAGTCTGCAAGAAGACTTCAGGTCTACTTGTACACATATTTCCCCAGCTAATAAGGCTGAAAATAAACATCTTGTCAGAGTCCTTTAGTATTTTGATGTTTAAAAGGAATTCTCATCTTTGAAAAGGAAAATTCAGGGCCAGTAAAAGCACTCATGCTGTTAAGCCTGATAGCCCAAGTTCAATCCCAGATCCCATGATAGGAGGAGAGAACCAGCTCCCTAAAATTGTCCTCTGACCTCCACACATATATGGTGGCACACACACTGTCTGCCCTACCCATCACATACACACACACACACACACACACACACACACACACACACACACACACACACAAATGATAAAATGTATGTGTAGGAAATTCTGTAATAGTACATAATAAATACATGGACATGGTAGCCAACTAGTAACTCAGGGTTTTTGTTTGTTTGTTTTATTTTTGAGATTATAATATGATTATATAATCCTTCCTATCCCTTTTCTCCTTCCAAATACTCCCATATACCCTCTTTGCTGTCTTTCAAATTTATGACCTCTTTTTAAATTAATTGTTTGTGTCTGTGTGTATATGTTTAAGCATATATATTCCTAAACACAACCTGATCCTTCCCTTATGTGCCAAGGCCATTCTGGTTTTTTACTATATTTTCTCCTTTAAATCTATGCGCATCAGATTTTTCCTGAGGGCGATTAAAGGCATTACAGGCTGTAGAGAGTCCATCGGCTGAATCACTTTTTTTATGGCTCTCAGATCTGTAGGCATTTTTCCATTTTCCAGATTTCTTTTTAATAACAAATATGGGAAAATTCTATAGGCTGGTTGATTCTTCAATATGTTGAGCATTTAGCTGCTCCTGAACCAGCTGTTCTAAGGCCTGTAGTTTCTCTGATATCATAGGCCACTGTCTAACCCAGGCAGGTTTGTCAGTTAACCATTTTAAGGGCAGGGATGTTGGTACCTCTGATAGTTAAACAGCTGTTGTGCTCTGTTTTTGTTCAGCCTGAATGGTCAGTGACTGTTTTTTTAAATAGTGTCTTATAATATTATTCCTGGAAACATGAATTGGTTTATGGTTTGTTTCTGAGATTGGAGGAATGTTAATCTGGGTACTCCATTGCTGTAACAGATCACAACCCCATAGATTCACAGCTACATTAGCCACATATGGTCTCAACCTTCCCCTCTGTCCTTCTGGCCCTATGCATTCAACCCATCTTGTACTTTGTCTTATCTGAGATTGGGTTCCAGTCCCTAGGAACTGAACATCTACCTTCTGAAGAGGCCAATTCAGATGCCATGATTCTGGTGTAATTATAGTCACATCTGTTCCTGTGTCCAATAAACCTTCAATTGTAATGTTATTTATTAGTACCCTTGTCTTTGGTCACTTATGGAAGTCTGCCAAAGTATTCATTTTATGGTTTTTCTTGGAATTTCTGATTCATCTTTCAAAGCTATTCTATCATCCAGAGCTGTATGGTTTTATACATTAGGCATTGGATCCTCTAACTGTTCTGTGGAGGCATTTACTCCACAGTGACGGGAATGACTGGACCATGTTTGACTTGGAGGCCTGCAAGAGGCCCCCCAAGGCATTTCCTAATGGTAAAGGGTCACCTTACTTGTCTCTTGGTTAACCTGCATTCATTGGTACAATGTTGGCTTTTGCCACATCTTCTGCATAATCCAGAAGGTTAGGGACTTCTGTTTGGGTTATTCCTACAAGAAACATTGTTTCTAGGAGTGCCCTATATACAGTTTCTTCTCATATGGCATGGTTAACCACAATTAAATGTTGGCACTTTGATGTCTCTTCAGGCCTTTGGGAATCACCTCTCCTATCCCAGCCTTATCATTATGGTTATGAGACTCAATATTGACTGTGTGTGAGAGTCATTCTTCTATGGGTACTGATCTGACCTTTAAAGGCACAATTATCATTTTGCATTCTAAATTAGCATTTTTCAAAAGCCTAAGATTGAACTAGTACTTGTCTAGCTTTTTCATCTGATATTGCTCTATTTACAGCTTTAGTCAATCTTTGCAAAAAGTCAGTGAAGGGTTCTTTTGAGCCTTGTATGACTTTAGTAAATGGCTCAGTTCTTGTCCCTGATTGATGAATCTTATACCAAGCATTTAAGGCTGCCATACGGCATATGGACAAGGTGTGTTCATCAAAGGTAGCCTGCTTATTTATATCACTTCAGGCTGCTGATAAATGGGATCAATAGTCAGATAGTAAAGAAACATGAGCTAAGCTGGAATGGGAGTGAGACAGTATCAACACCGACACCGTCTTCTGGGAAGGCTCCAGGACCAGGACCAGAAGCTGTCAGACAAGCCGTGTTTCAGAACCCGTGCACTTCCGTGCATAACTTGGCCTTCATAGAACTTCTGTGAGCTAAGTACGGAGGGCAAAATCATCTGGTTTTGATGGATTTCTCATCCTGTAACCATCTAGGGACCCATACTAGGAGTGAAAAGGTAATACAGGTTGTCAGGCTGTGGGCAGTGACTGTGGGGAAAGGAAGACAGATGAGTAAAGGGATTACTAGGATGCGTCTTGTAAGTGCTGAGAGGGCTGATGGTGGCTGAGCAACACATCATCTCATCTACTCCAGAGGACAGGCCGTTTAAGGAGCAGTACCAACAGTGATTGTTAAAGGGGATGCAAACGGGAGTCTCCTGCCCCAACCACCCGGTCCCAAACAACCGACTCAGAGGCTGAATATGAAATATGGATACTTGGCCAATAGTTCAGGCTTATTACTAACTAGCTCTTACAACTTAAATTAACCCATTCCTGTTCATCTATGTACTGCTATGTAACTCATGACTTTACTTGTCCTCTAGCATGTCTTGCTTCCTTGGGTGGCTGGCTGGCATCTCTCCTGACTCTGCCCTCCTACTTCCCATCATCCCCAGGTTGGCTTTCCCGCCTAGCTTCCTGTCCAGCTACTGTTGTCAGCTTTTTGTTAACCAATGAGAATGATATATATTCATAGTGTAGAAAAGGATTGTTCCTCAGCAAGGGGACTTGGATGAAGGGAGAAATTGCACTCAGACTGAGAGGCATGACCACAGCAATGCAGTTTTGTGGCACCTGCTGGGTTTGGGAAGTTCAGATTTGTTAAAAGCAGTGGCAAGAGCTGAAGTTTTGGAGGTGGAGGGAAGACTGCCGTTGTTAGACATACCGAGACATTTAGGCCTTTAAGGTGAAGGCATTAGAGGCAAATGGAAAGGTTTTCGGGGGAAAGTAACTATCAAATTTGTGTTTCTAATTCGTCCTATTAGGCATTGTGGATGACAGACTACACAGGAGAAAAGTAGGGTTTTATTTGAGATCTGTATTCTGAAACACCAATGAAGCAGTATAGGATGGAGACATGGAGGAGGCTGAATCACCAGGACTTGATGTTGCTTTGGAATAGGAAGGATAGCAACCCTCGCTTACTCTCAGGCCTCTGGCGTGGGAAACATGGTGAAGAGTAGAGCTGTTCCCAGAGCTGGGGACCAGGAAAGAGGCAGCCAGCTAGAAGAGAAGCAGTGCGTTGACTTCCAATGTTTTCTGCTTGGAGTCCATAGTAGCCAACACTGAATCTGGCTTTTACTGTGTAATGCTGGTTTTTTTTTTTTTTCTTTTTTTTCTTTTCAGAAGTTGCTTTTTGATGCAGTAGCAGTTTGTAAGAAGGGATAAAGGTGACATTCAAATTGCTATGTGTGTAGAGTTTTGTGGTACTACATTGTTCAGATGTTTAATTTACTACAGAGATAAATTTCAGCAGTCTAGAAACTGAAATGAATTTGTAAGTTTCTTAACTAATAATGAGATTTGGAAACTAATGGCATATTGGCTTAAAATGAGATTGTTCTTATCTTAAGTAAAATTAATGCTGATTTTTCTCTGATTAATGTTTAGATCTCCTAGAACCAAACTTCCAGTTCAAGGAACAGAGCACAAAATTGGACTCTGGGGAACAATCTCTGCTTTGGACCCTGCTTCAGGATGTGCCTGCTGCTTGTCCCTCACCAAGCCCTGCTGTTCACCCCACTCCCAGCCCTGCTGCTCGCCCCACTCCCAGCCCTGCTCCTCGCCCCGCTCCAAGGCCTGCTGCTGGAAAGTTAGAACGTCTTACTGCCAAGCTCCAGGAGATGGATGAGCAGCTGTTGACAGTGCAGACCATTGCGGAGAACATAGAGCAGGACTTCCCTGCACCAGAAGTGCTGAATCGACACTGGGAAAAGGTATCTGTTCTTATTTTCTAGTGCTTTGGGGGGGGTGTGTGTGTGTGTGCGTGTGTGCTCGTGCATGTGCAAGTCATTAAATATTTGGTATCATTAATATGATATAATTTTAGATATCTGACTTTATTAAATAATGGGGGGGAATTTAAGCTAGAATTTTTTTAAACTTGGTGGTTTTTGACAGGCTACATTAGCAGTTCTCAACCTGTGGGTCATGACCTTTTGGGATCAAATGACCCTTTCACAGGGTTCTCCTAAGACCATTGGAAAACACAGATATTTACATTATGATTCATAACAGTAGCAAAATTAGTTATGAAGTAGCAACGAAAATAATGTTATGGTCGGGGGACAGCACAACACAAAGAACTGTACTAAAGGTGGCAGATTAGGAAGGTTGAGAACACCGAGCTACATGATTACTTGTTTTTCTGTCTTCTGTGGTTCTGGGGTCATTCACATAACTAGGCAAGTGCTCCCCAGTGAGCCGCACTCCCTCCTGGCTCCAGGTAGATCTCTGTCTTCCCATCTCACTAGGTGCCCATAGCAAACCCAGGTAATAACAATCAGCCAGAGTTTCCCTGACCTTGTCAGAAGACACTCAGATCGCCCCCAGCTGAGAACAGCTGCCATAGCTTTTAAGTAGGGAGCCCATGCTTCCTTCAGGAAAGAAATGTGTGAGCTGCTAACCAGAGTGTGATTTGAAAACACTGTTCAATGTCATTCTCCTCTCAAAGATTTTTCTTTTCTTTTTTCTTTTTTTGTTTTGTTTTTCAAGACAGGGTTTCTTTCATACAGTCCTGGTTGTCCTGGAACGTGTTTTGTAGACAGGACTGGCATTGAACTCAGAGATCTGCATGCCTCTGCCTCCTGAGTGCTGGGATTAAATGTGTGCATCACCACCTCCCAGCTTATGTGGTAGTCGTTTTATGGTTTTGTTTTATTTTTTAAACCACAAACTTGGATATGGCCAAATGAATCTTGAGCATCAGAAGTCCTTGATGGCCTTTTCTTCAAAGACCCTCTTTTGAAATTGTCTTCTGAACTAGTAGTAAAAGCATATTTAAATCCAGACACATATATGTGTATATGCACACACATGTATATTACATATATATTCTTAAGTAAGCTTATAAAGTGTTTCCCTAGGACTTTTTCAAATATCCATAATGTCATCTCCCCTTCCTCATTCCCCACATATATTACCCTTCCTCCTTCATCTCCAGTTTCCAACACTTTGATTTGCTAAGTTTAACAAACCAGTTTGCAGACCTAGAGAGACAGGGGACTCCCAGGACACCGTGAACAAGTACTAACTTGGAAGCTTAAGAGCTTGAGTTGAAATCCATGGCCTGTCATTGTGGAAATCGCTCACCCCTGGGCCTTGTTTCCTCGTCGGGATGTAGAAGGCTGTCATGATGGTAGCTAACTTTCTCCCCCATGCAGGACCATGTGAAGTCATTCCCAGCCCTTGCTACAGATAGTACAAACTTCCTCTTCATGACCCCTGACAATTAGTCACCCTAGATTTTATCCTGTTTCTCTCATTTTGTTGTAGTATTTTAAATGCTTGAGATATACATAAAATTATGATATTTGGACATTTTCAAAAGGTATAACATTTACAGCAGCTCTTTTGCTGTGTTTGTTTTCTTCTATAGGCTGGACTGGTAGATCACGTTGAATTGTCTTCTGGCCCTGAAGTTGAAAAACCGTTAGCTTTAAAAGCCACTAGCATTTCTGAAGAAGGTTTGTGTTGGGAACCTGGGCTGGTACCGAGGCCTGGCTTCAAAAAAGCACTAGAAATACTTTTTTCATGTGAGCTGAAGCCAGTCCTCCCTGCCCCATTCCCAGTCTTTTATTTTTTATTTTTATGTTACGTTATATGGGTATTTTCCTACATGTATATTTATGTACCACATGTGTGCATCTTGTATCTGTTTCTTCAAAGATTCTACCCCCTTTCCATCATTAGTTCTTTCCAAGTCTGTGAGTGATACATTATCCTTGTCTTTGAAAACAGCTTAGCTTTGCTGTGATTTTTAGGTCATAGTATATAGCTGACTGCAGACTTCTCATGTTTTCTCTAATTCTAGAGTTTCCCTGGTCATTTGGTAGACATTATCCCAGTGTTTGTTGAGCATACACTGCCTATGTGCTGTTAGTCTAATTGCTGTCTTAATATCTCTGGTTGCTTTAAAATTTACTTTTTACTCATTTTTCTTTTTTGACACAATGTCTAGGTATGAATTGCTATCTTACACCTAAGTAGATTGATTCTCCAGTTCAAAGGGTTAACGTCGGGAAGTCTGAGTGGCATCCATCACCCTTTTTTCTCCCTCTGTTCTAAAAATGCCTGTTAAGTCTGTTTGGACCTTGTCAATTTAATGTTTTAAACTTACATGTTTGTTTGTTTGCTTGGCGGGGGGTGGGGGTGCATGCCTGTAAGGCACAGGACAACTTGAGAGAATTGGTTCTCTCCTACTTCGTGAGTCCTGTAGGTCAAACTGAGGTGGTCAGCCTTGGCAGCAAAAATAGTATCTGCTGCACCTCCTCTCTCCAGTCCCAGTTGTCTCTTTCGTGTGTGTGTGTGTGTGTGTGTGTGTGTGTGTGTGTGTGTGTGTGTGTGTGTGTGATGTTTCATGATTTCTTCATCTTTAGGACTCAGGGATGTATTCACTAGTATTCCTTTAAATCTGTCTTCTAAAATCTGCTTCCTGTGATTTCTTGTTCCGCCTACTCACTGTTATTCTAGTTTTGATGACTATTTTCAATATCTAAAACTGTTTTCAAATCTGACTGTTCTGTGGCTTCCTATTTTCTTTCACTGTACTGTAGACAGCTTTCAGAATGTTCTGTAGGCATCTCATGTGAGTGTGTCATGTGGAATGTACTGTAGGTATCTCATACGTGTGTCATGTGGAATGTACTATAGGCATCTTATGTGAGTGTGTCATGTGGAAGCAGCAACTTTCCCTTCGTGTTTTTTCTTAATTGTATGCATGCCTTGGATTAGTGTCTTTCCAGACTCATGGGGACGTGGAAGATCAAAATGATACAGAGAAAACTTCAGAGACAGAATTTTCAGTAACAGAAAATCACCCTAGCCAGAAAACCTACGTATGCCCTTCTGCGGGGTCAGCCGTCTGCTCTTCCATGGACTGGAGTATCACTTCTCCTGGTACTGCTCTTCACTCCTTAGGTTTACATGCTCTTGTGTGGATTAGTGTTACTGATACCTGGGAGGGGTACAGCTGTGAAGGTGTGTGAAATAAATACACTTCAACCACGTATCACACCCCTATAACATTTTAGCATTAAATCTATAGTAATTAGAATTATATGTGATTTTTATAAAAATTGAGAAATTCAAAGTGCTAATTACTAGAATTTTACATTTTAATCTGTAACAGTACTATTGGTTATTTGTTGAGCCCCTGCTGCGTACATTGCTATATTTCATGCATGGGCCCATTTTAAGGTTGACTGAGGTAGAACTTCATTATTCTTATTCTAGAGTCGAGACTGAGGTTTAGAAAGGGTTAGTGCCGCTGTTTGTTTGATTTCATTTGGAGACACGTTGTCATTACAAGTGCTGTTCTTGGGTCCTGAAGGGACATTGAGTCATATGAACGACAGGCACAACATTTCTTGTGTAACCCATGTAAACATGGATAAAATGAAATGTTTTCCTCTAGTATTTAATGTATGTTTTGTATGCTTGAAAGAAATTCTATTTTTTTTTTTTAAATAAGAATTTTGATGCCGTAAGTAGGAATCTCCTTCCAGGCTGGCTTCTTGGAAAGGTATAGTGCCATTACCTCAGTTTTGCAGTCAGAATAGCTTAGAGTTTTCTCCTCTACAACTTCCATTTCTTTTAAAAAATGTTACTGGCAAATAACTGATTGAGGTTAGATTTTAATTTTGGACACAGCCATAGGCCTCCCAGAAGCTTATGTGCAGGTATGCTGGCTTGTCCAGGAAGATGCCAAGCCGGGTGTGACTGTTTCACATTGCGAATGGAGAATTATACCGACTAACTCTGCTGAATTACCTCTGAAGGCGTTCCAAAGGAAGAGTTCCAAAAGTGGGATCAGAGTAACAACTTCAAGTGTTCTTTATGGGGCTGGAGAGATATGACTGAGCAGTTAAGAGCACTGGCTGTTCTTC